AAAGGCAGGGGACACGGAGAGGCCAGGGCTGCCTGGGCACATCCATCCCACTCCCACTGTCCTACAGCTAATGGTGGGGCAGGGATAACACGACCCAAAAAACACCCCAAGGATGTGGGATGCAGTGGTAGGGAAGGGTGCTGGGGGTGCACGGAGGGTGTCCTCACTCTCTCCCTGGCAGGAACCCCATGGGCAGGACGGGGCTGCGAGGCCGTGGGAGGCTGCACTGCTTTGGGCCCAACCATGCCCTGCACCCCGTGGTGACCCGGTGAGTGTTCCTGCTCCAGCACGGGGCTCGGGGCTGCAAAGGGGCTGTGGGGTCACCTCAGAGAGCTGCCAAACCCCACACTGCCAACGTGACTGCTGCTGGGCAGGGGGGAGCCACGGCCAGCTGCAGCATCACGGGGACCTCTCCCACAGCTGGAGGAGGAACCTGGATGGGTCCATCATAAGGAAGAGCCTGAAGAAGATGCTGGAAGTCCTGGTGGCCCAATATCCCCTGTCTGATGTCTGGGCTCTGCCTGGGGTAAGGGCTGGCAGGAACCAAGGGAAGGGAAGGGAAGGGAAGGGAAGGGAAGGGATCCCACAGAAAAGGGGGAATCACAGGTGTGTGCTGCAGCCTGGCTGAGGAGGTGCCTCTGCCCCTGTACAGAGCAGCTGCTGGGAGCTCCTTACATTCTCCAGCCTCTCCCTCTTTCCTCCATGGCTCCAATCCTCACATCCTTCATGTGATCCTGTTAAGCCATTGCCAAAGCATCCTTTGGCAGATGTTGTATCAGGCAAACTCTGCTTGGGCAGAGCTGCGGACTTTGTGCAGGAGAGGGAGGATGGGAGGCACCAGCAGACCTTGGGGTACCTCCTGCAGTGGTGGCAGGCAACTGCCCAATGGCCAAGCTGGTGGCAGGGAGGGAGGCTGGAGTGTGCTGATGGCAGGCCCCAGGGCTGACATCTGCCTTGGCACAGGGCTCACTGGAGCCAGGAGAGATGCTGCCCCTGAAGCTCAAGTGGATCCTGCGCCGGGAGTTCTGGCCCCAGTTCCAGAACCTGCTGAAACAAGGCACTGAGGTGGGGGCACGCGGCTGTCCCTGTGCTGTCGGTCACAGGAGGGCTTGGGGGCATGTGGGCATCACCTCGGATGACACACAGGTGTCATGTCACGACAGGGACATGGGGACATCACCACAGTGTGGGGACATGTGGGCATCGTGGTGTCACAGGGCCACGTGGGTGGCCCAGGGCACAGAGGCAGGGTGCATCGCCTCTTGGCCACTGCTCCCACCGGACAGCAAGGGGCAGGGGAGGTGAGGATGTGCCATAATTCATGTCTGGAAGTCAGGGAGCAGCCCAGAGATCCAAGGGAAGGCTGCCCACAGCAGAGTCTGTGCCTGCAGCAGTGGCTCCCCATGGCTCCAGCTGCAGCAGAGCAGGGCTCTGGCCTCCAGCAGGGCAGAAAACCCACAGAGTGATGCCCAACCCACCCCTCAGAGAGGTGATGAGGGCTCTGCTCACGTGGCATCTGCATGCACAGGTGCACAAGGGGTACCTGGACGACCCACGCAACACGGACAACGCCTGGGTGGAGACGGTGGCCATCAGCGTGCACTTCGACACCCAGAACGACGTGGAGATGAAGCGGCTGAATTCGGTGAGGGGCTGCCACCCCCGGGGCTCTCTGCCTCAGCTCGCAGCTCCCTGGGCACAGCAGCCAGGTCTCCAGAGCCACATCTCCACAGGACTCTGGCTGCGTGCAGCGGGGGAAGAACAGGGGATGAACGTGGGGTGGCACCTCAGTGTGTGCCCCAAAAGGAAAAGCAGGAGGTTGGGGCTGGAGGTGCTGCTGAGCGTGGCTGGCAGCACACATGTGACATCTGTCCCCTTGCAGTTCCTCCAGGGCTGCGACCCGGAGCTGTGCATCCGCTGGCAGGTGCTGGACAAGAGGATCCCCCTGCACGCCAACCACAAGCAGCTCCTGCACAAGGTCTCAACCCTCCTCGGTGCCTACTACTGAGGCCTCGTGCTCAGCTCCTGCTGCCCCAGAGCAGGCTCTGGCTGGGACCTGCAGCTCCACCCCAGCTGCCCTGGGAGAACGTGGGAGCTGCTGGGGTTGAGATAGTCTGGGTGCCTCTGTGAATGTATGTTGCAGGTCTCTGGGAGGAAAAGTGTCCCCTCCCTGAGGGCATGGGCTGCCTGAGCAGTCACCTGAGCCACCAAGTTCAGCCCCAGCTTGTGTCTTGGTGCTTCCACATCAGCCCACAGCACTAGCCCAGAGCTTGGGCCACACAGAGCCATAGGGCTTTTCCTGTGAGATGGTCCTTCTGTCCACTCCAACCTGCTCTGGGATTTGGGGTGGGCACTGGGGGCTCCACCAGAGTATCCATCACTGCTCCCTGCTCCTGCTCTGAGCCCTGGCAGCCCCCCTGCCACAGCTCCTGAAGGATTGCTCTGGAGAAGGCCTGGAGTGGCTCCTGTGGTGGCTGTACCCATACCTCTGGTTGCCTCAGACCCAACAACATGGTCCTGAGCTGTGACCCAGCACTTCTGAAGGTGTGAGCAGCTCTTGGCTTATATACCTATGGTTTCACAGCCCTGCCCAGGCCCACCTGCCATGCCCCCACTGTCTGTGGTCCTGCTTGTGTATGCTAGCACTGCCTTGTAGCTAAACTCCCCTCCTCTCTCCGAGCAAGGCCCCAGCTAAACGTCACCTGCCTGTCCCCACCCCTTGTGCACAGGGATGGAAGTGGCAGCTTGCTGGGACACAGGTGATCCGTGCTCTGGTGTTCCTTGGGCAGGTAGGGACAGGAGAGGGACATCTGTGTGTCAGCCCCAGGCATCCCTGCTTTTAAGGGGTCTTTCACTCACGTTTTCTGTGGCCTGCCATGGGGACAACAAGGCACAGTGGATAAATTTTTTCATCATCCAGAAGAGCCCCACGGTGGCATCTTGTGCTTGGGACTGCTCAGGAAAGGATTCTGGTTCCCCACCTCCTCCCAGTGGATCAGACACCGGCCAGCCAAGGCTGCTCATCCCACACTGGTGGCCACCATGGCACAACTGCAGTTTCACCAGTGATGCACGGGGTTTGGCGAGGGGAGGGGGCTCAGCCTGGCAATGCATTCAACCCAGCTCAATAAACCATTATTAAACACTGCAGGCTGCTGGTGTCTCACAGCTGTTTAACCAGGGGCTCTTCCTGGGGGTCATTCTTGGAGCACACCTCCAGGCTAAGCCCAATTCCACCCCAACCCTGCTGTACAAACTCACTTTGGCACAGCCTCACCCCCAGTGATGGCTGGCTCACAGAATGGTGTGGGTTGGACGGGATTTCAGTGATGGTTTCATTTCCAGCCATGGGCAGGGGCACCTTGCAGGCTGCTCGAAAGCCCTGGCCGTGTTTAGAGCTGATGTGGAGCTGTGCTCCCAAGTGCTGGCCTGGCACCTTCTCCCACTGCCCCAGACTGATGTCTGCTCCTGCTCCCCTCCGGGGAGGGACGATCGTGCCTTACAGCAGCAGATGAAGCTTCTAGACTCTCAGCCTCCAAAAAACCAGCGGAAATCTCATTAGCAGCGCTCATTTCTGCGCACCGGGCTCCGCGCTGCCGCTCTCCCGCAGCCCCGGGGTTCCGCCTGCTGTCCCCGCTGCCCCCGCCCCGCTCCCGCAGCAACAGGTGGGGCCGGCCGGGATCCGAACCGGCACCGAACCGGCACGGCAGCCACAGCCCGAACGGTAAGTGACCGCGGGCCCCGGGCGGGGCAGCGCCGGGTCCGGGCAGGGCTCAGGGCGGGCCGGAGCATCGCCCCGCACAGCCCGGGCACGGCGGGGCTGCGGCTCCTGGGGCTCCCGAGCCCTTCCACGCGGCACCGCGTACTCCTTGTTCCCCGGGAACAGAGACGTCCCTGTTCCCCCCGTCAGAGCCCGGGGCGTTTTGCAGGGTCAGAGGATTCCCGGGAAGCCCAGCTTCAAACCCCCGGGCAGGATCCACTGCCGGGGGCAGGGCTGCGGGCACAGCTGCAGACAGCGTCCTTCGGGTATGAGCACACCGCGTCCCTCAGGTGTGAGCATCCCCCTGTGGTACCCTGAGCACGGGCACGCCTGAGGGATGCTGCTGCTACCGGGGGAATGCCATTAGCAGAAGGATTCTGGTACCAGAGGGACAGCAACTTGGTGCCCATAATGACTTTACATGGGACATTAATTCCCATGAGAAATGCTCCCTTGGCCTCCCAGATCTCCCCTCCATGAGGATCTCTTTTCCCAGGCTGGCCAAGGCAGCAGCAGGGACAGGAGCAGCACCAAAGGCAGAGGAAAGGTGTCCCACTTACTTCACCTCCTGCCTCGCTCACCCCTGGCAGCACTGGGGTGTGCTTTGGGGTTCCTACACCACCCCTTTTACTGTGCTAGGCAGTGGCTCCTCCCTTCCCCTCCCACCCCCAGAGCCAGGCTGTCAAACCACACTCTTTGTTTACTTTAAAAAAACAAACTCACCTCCAAACACTTCTTTGGTGAAACTCGTGGGAACCTGGCTTGTACCAGCTCACAGACCAGAAGGGAAGGGAAGGGAAGGGAAAGCAAAGCAAAAGAGCTCCACATCTTGTTACTTAAAACCCTGGCGGTGATTAAATCAGTCTGATGATCCTTACAGTCTGACTCATCATTTTTTTTAAACACTCAGGGCTGGTGAGGTAGGGATTTACTGCTGCTGCTCTCCAGCAGCAATCCCCCCTGGAAACTGGGCAGCAGGATGGGGCAGAACGTCCCGGGCTCATCTCCACACCCCATCTGGCAGCTCCCTTTGTCCACCTAGGTGGTCTCTGCAGAGACAGGGGTTTCTATTTTTAATTAATCCAAATTAAGCTGTCCTGGGAAAGATAGCCAGTGTCACTCCACCCTTGTGAGCCCAGCCTCTCACCCCTTTGCCAGGGCACACCACACACGAGCCATGCCCGGTGTTCCAGGAGATAATGCTGTGTCACATCCCCTGCACCCACAGCTTCCCTCAGCCATGGGAGAGGCCTTGCAGGGGCGCCCAGGAGCCGTCCTGCTGCCCCGGGGAGCTGCCAGCAGTCATGCTGAGCTGCCTGCCTGCAAGATGACCCTCACCACCAGCAGCACCAGCAGCAGCACGTCGGCGCCCAGCGTGGCCCAGGCTTTCTTCTGCCTCCTGCTCTGCATCCCCTGGGGCAGCTCCTGCCCGCCCAGCTGCCAGTGCACGGAGCGGGCGGGGGCCAAGGCCGTCCTCTGCAGCTCCCAGCGCCTGGAGGAGATCCCCAAGGACATCCCCAGAGACGTGGTGCTCCTCAAGCTGGACGCCAACAGCATCACCAGGATCCCCAGCAACGCCTTCAGGCACCTCTCCCACCTGCAGGAGATCGACCTCTCCGGGAACGCCATCGAGAAGATCGACAGGGCGGCTTTCAGAGGGGTGGCAGCCGGGCTGAGGAGCCTCGACCTGTCCGGCAACCGCATCCGCAGCATCCCCAAGGAGGCCCTGCTGGCCCTCAGGGCCGAGCTGCGGCTGGCCAACAACCCCTGGCACTGCGAGTGCGGCCTGCAGGAGCTGCTGTGGGAGGCGCGCCTGGACCCGGCCTCGCTGCGGGACGTCACCTGCCACACGGCCCCGCGGCAGGAGTACGTGGGCAAGCCGCTGCTCCAGGTGCTGGACGCCGGCGCCAACTTCTGCGGCGCGCGCCCGAGGAGCACGGACGTGGCCGTGCTGGTCACCATGTTCGGCTGGCTCGCCATGGTGGTCGGCTACGTCGTGTGCTACGTGCGGCACAACCGGGAGCGCTCCTGCGGGCACCGGGAGCGGCTGGGCACGCTGCCGGGCGCCCAGGCCCGTGTGGAGAGCACCAGCACCGCCCTGTAGAGCGGGGCTGGGGCCGGCTTCAGGCTTCTTCCTCACAGGGAGCCCCTGGCAGCTGGTGGGCATCAAGGCTTCTCGGTGGGATTCTGCAGTGCTTTCTTTGGTTGAGTGCCACCAGCCCCCTCCCCAGTGACACTGGAGTGAGTGTGGGCAAACGACATGGGGGAGGGATCCAGGGACACCCTGTGTGGGCCTGTCCATGCTGACCAGGGACTTGGACATAATACTTGTCCCCCAGGTTGTAGGGACACGCAGCCCCAGCCAGAGCTGGGCTTGCAGGGAATGCAGCCCCAGTCGCGTGCTTGTGGCTGGGAGAGAACGAGTCCCTGGCAGGGAGAGATGGGCTCTGGGGCCAGGCGGTCCCTGGGGTGCAGAGGGTCACTGCAGAGGGGTCACCCCATCCTGGCTCCAGTGAGGCATCAGCCTTGCCAAGGGCAGGACAGCCCCCCCCCCAAGGCCCTCACTACCAGGGGAGCTCCAAAACCTCTGATTTCCTCAATAAAGCCCTGCACTTAGGAAAAGCCCTCAGGGTTTGTGCTGTGCTGGGACATGAGTGGCCAGGGAGATGGGTGGCCAGGGAGGGTGGTGGTGCTCGTGGTGCTTGGGGGGCTTATCCTAATTCAATCTGTGCCAAAGCAGAGCAGCCTGAATTCAATGTACCAGCACAACTCCCATTAGGTGCCACCCCCTCCCACCCTCAGCTGAATCTCAGGCAGGGACCAGTGGCCAAATACATCTGGTCTTGCCTTATCTTGCCCTTCCTGGGGGCTGAATTAGGGTTGTTGCTCACAGCTTATTGATGGAAGCAAATCAAATTCTCCCTTTTGTCACAAGGGAGAAATGGCCCTTCCTGGCAGAGCCAGCTGCACTGAAGAGGGAGAGGAGGGAGGGATGCAGAGGCTCACCCTGCAGGTCTGGACCCTGGAAAGGCTCAGGCTGTGACCCCCAGCCCTTCTTGATGGGGCTGGCACCTCATGAGTGCTCCCCAGTGCCAGGGGGGTGGCTCAGCCCAGCAGGAATCCTGGCTCTGGGGAAGGCTGAGAGGTGCTCTGGGACACTCAGGTGAGGCAGGGGGTCCTGGGTGGGGGGGACAGAGGGGCACCCTCACCCCAGCACACTCGGGTGCTCAGGGGCACCTCGTCCTCAGTGGGCTACCCATAGCCATGGACATTCAGGGGTGACTTGGTGGGTGGAGGGATGCCTCTGCCACAGGCAGAGCAGCTGGGTTACCCATGGGGGAGAAAGGCTGGGTGCACACAGTTTATTAGAGCTCTGGTTAAGCAAAAGAGTCCCCCAGCAAAGGCGAGGAAAAGAAAAGAGGCCACAGTTTCACCTGAAGCAGGTTTGGGTTTTTCCCACTCCCGTGGTAGCTGGATGGGTCCAAATGTAAAGCAGGTTTTCTCAGGGGTCCCTAACCCCACACAAAGGTGCACGGACCAGCAAGGACCAGCACTGGCCCTCGAGCACACCAACAGGTCTGCAGAACACACACAACACTTGAGGGAGACCCAACCCAGCCATGGCAGAGTGGCAGGGTGGGCAGGCACCTGTGGCAGTGGCATGGAGGTGACAAGAATGGCTGCAGTGTCAAACCAGATGGTCCTCAGGAGCATCACAGCCCCAGGCAGGCAGAGCCAAGCCTGGACACGCTTTTCCCCACAATTTCTCACAGTTTACTCCCCTCTGCCATGCACCCATCCCAGCAGCTCATGCTCTGCTCTGCCTCTTCCTTCCCTGGCTTTGTGCAAGCTTTGGCCACAGCTGCTGGCAGCTCTGGGTCCCTCCTGGGGACTGGAAACTGCCAAGCACCATGGCCCTGGTAAGCCAGGGGGTGCACCCAGCCTCCAGCAACCTTGGGTAGGACATGGAGCATGGTGGCAGAGCTTTCCCAGGAGAAACAGCGCCTGGACAAGGCTGCAGGGAGCCTGGAGCTCCCTCCTCCTCCTCCTCCCTTCCTGCAGAGCATTCAGCCAGCCAGCCCAGCTGATGCTGAGCCATTCCCGGGCTCTGTGGTCCATCTCCACCTGGCAGCCCAGCTGGTCCCGGCGTGTCTCAGCTGCCTCAGGTGGTTTTCAGCCGGAGCACCTTGGAGAGCGGCTCCCTGGCGCTGGAGTAGAGCAGGTAGGAGCCCTCAGCGGTGTGAAACGCCTCCCAGTCCCTGCAGCCCACCGTGGGGAGCTGGTGGGCTGCCACGAAGCCCTCGTAGCCTTGCCACCTGCACAGGGAAGGCAGTTAGCTCCTGGGGCTGGGCTGGGCACCCGGGAAGGGCAGGGAGCTGAGCCATGGAGCTGCCATCCCCCAGCTCCCTGCTGTGGCTCAGTTTGGGATGTCCCTCACCAGGGCTTCCCATCCCTGCCTGGAAGCAGGGAGCAGTCCCACCATGCTCCCTGGGCAGGTGAGCAGGCTGTGCCCTGCAGGGGGGTCCTGCAGGGAGCAGCCCCCAGCCTGTCCTCTGCAGTACCTGTAGATGATGCTGTTGACAGAGAAGGTGAAGCCATCGAAGGAGTTGGCCACCACCAGGAAAGAGTCGTCTCCCACTGAGAAGAACTCCCAGTCCAGGGCACTGGGGATGGAATGAGCAGAGGGACAGGTGAGGTGACCTCTGTGTGGCTCTGACACCCTGAGCACACACAGAAAACCCTGCTCTTCCCAGGCTGCTCCTGAAAGACATCCACCCTCATTCCCAAACCTAGCCCTTCTCCCAGCTCCCACTGGGACTTGGTGCCAAGGAGCCATCACCCTCCCCACCTCTCACCAGTCTCAGTCCCTGGGAGTGTGAAGCCTGCAGGAGCCCTCCAGGAGACAAGCAAGAGTTAAACTGAAAAAGGAGAGGCCCTGCCACAGCTGCAGCCATCCCATCCCTGGAATGTCCAAGGCCAGGTTGGACAGGGCTTGGAGCAACCTGGGCTAGTGGAAGGTGTCCCTGCCCATGGCAGGGGGTGGAATGAGGTAGGCTTTAAGGTCCCTTCCCCCCCAAATCATTCTGGAATTCTGTGAGACCTTTGGATTGCTCAGACTGAGGAGCACCCTGAATCCTTGCACAGGTACCTGTAGGTGAGAAGGTCCTGGAATTTAACAAACATCTGGGCCGTGATGTTCAGCTCATAGATGGAGGAGTTGATGGCATAGAAGTTGGAGGGTGCTGGCATCCCGCTGTCATAGCTGTGGCTGTTGGCAACAGCCAGGAAGACTCTGTCCCCAATGTGAAAAACCTCCCAGTCGGCTGCACCAAATGTCTGTGGGGAAGGAGGCCGTGAGAGGCTGGATGTGCTGCCCTGCCTAAGCACAGAGGGGGGACTGAGGAGCAGTGGCCAAGCCTTACCAGGATAGACTGGAAGAGCTGGAAAGAGCCACGGAGCCAGATGTAGATGTGTGAGTAGATCTTGGTGGATGTGCCATTGAAGGTGTTAGCTACAGCCAGGAAGGAATACGGTCCGATGGTGAAGAATTCCCAGTCGTAGGCTCCAGAGGTAGGAATGGTCTGGTTAGTTTCAAACAGCCTTGTCCTGGGGTTCCACCTGTATATCACACTGTCTATATTGTGGTTGTTCCCTGGGGGAGACAGATGTGCACCATGAGGGACAGCAATTCCTGCTTTGTGTAGGAAACAAGACCCCAAAGCAGGCTCAGCTACGTTAATATTTGCCAGCAGGTCACGAGGCTGCTTGCAAGTGACTTATTGCTCCCCAAGAAGTAGCCAAAGAGATTCTACAGCCTTCATCCCTACCTAAAAATCCCCTCCATCCCTACCTAGTGTCTCCATTCCTAGAGCCTCCGTCCCATGGAGCACACCAACAAGTGCACAGCAGCAGCTTTGTGGCAGCCCTGGCAGAGGAGGGACAGGCAGGGGCTTTATCCCCACACAAGCAGCACTCCCTGCCAGCACCCCAGGGTGGGCAAGCTCTGCTGGCTGTCCCACAGTCCCAGCTGTGTCCCTATGCCACAGCACAGGTCACAGTTGAGATGGCCACAATACACAGAGTGTCACCACACAATTTCAGGAGGACTCAGCCCATACAGAGTAACACCACATCACTTCAGAGGGCTGCAAGTTCTGCCTTTCTGGTTCTTTATCCCAGGCTTTTATCCCCTCCTGTTGATGCCCTGCCCCTGTGTGCCCTCTGCTCCCTTTGGAGGTTACTCAGAGCCCCTGGGCACTCCATGGCTCATTGCTGTCAGTGCTGCTCACAGCTGTGCCCACTGGGGATGGGGCTCAGCCCCACCCCAATCACCACACACTCTGTGCCTACATCCCTCAGCTCCTGACACTGGGGGCTTCCCCCTGTCCTAAAGCACGTGCTCCATCAGCTCCTGGGCTCTGCTCAAGCATCTCCACCTGTGTGGGACCCCGCAGGCTTTAGATCCTTATTGCAACAGGGACTGGGGCAAAGAAAGGCTGCAGGAAGAGTGGGAATGGCCACATGGATAAGTGGCAGCTCCGCAGGGACTGAACCTCCAGTCCCCCTCAGGGAAACATCCCCACTTTGGCTTGGCCATGTTGGTCTCACCCCTGTGTGATGTGCATGGCTGGCAAACTGCCTCAAGGGAAGGTCTCACTCTGATGGAGTCCAACAGGAGACACAGGGAGTGTCCAGCCCAGCCCACAGGTGCCCAAGCAGCCTGGTGCCAGCTCTGAGCCTGGTGCCAGAGGCACTGATGCCCCCTGAGCCAGCCCTGATGGCAGGGAAGGAGCCACTGGCTCATCTGAGCCCAGCTGGGAGCACCCCACAGAGCTGTGCTGTCATCCAGGGCTGCACATCCCAGCCCAGAACAGCTCCCTGGGGAGGGGAAGGGGGCTGGATCATGTCTGCAGGGTGTCAGGGAGGGAGCTCAGCTGGCTCTCACTCAGTTCCCCGTGTGCCCACAAAGCTGGGGATCTGGCTTCACAAAAGGCTCCACCTGTGGCACTAGCAGGTTACGCAGTATTGGGGATAAAACTGAAAATAAGCAGAAAGATTCAGCACAGACACCATCCCCACTCCTGTCCTTGTCCCCTGCAGCCAGAAACCCACAGGGTGGCTGTCACCCCCTTGCTTTTCTCTCCTCTCAAGGCGCTGGGTGTCCTGGGGCACCCCAGGCGTGCTCACCTCCCCTGCCCTCCTGAGCATGCAGGGGCAGCCTGCTCCGGGCAGGGCACTGCCAGGGCCCCAGACAGCACCCTGCAGGCAGCACTGAGGGCTGGGTACCTTCTCTGTGGTTGACCACAGCAAGAAAAGCCTCTCCCTGGATGACAAAGGCCTCCCAGTCCCTGGCGCTGTGCGTGCTGATGCGCTGGTACGCCACGAACTTGGCTTTCCTGCGGCTCCACTTGAAGATCACCGAGAACTCCTGACCCCTCTCATCCTGCTCAAAATTCGCCACCGCCAGGAAGATCTGGGAAAAGAAAAGCCAGGATGGCTTGGGTTTCTCCTCTCAAAGCAGCACGGGCAAGGAAATGCAGGGGGAGGTGGGATGGAGTGGCTGGTGTGGCCCTGGCTGGGGTTCTTGAGCTGTCCCCAAGCAACACAAAGTGGGGACAGGGACCCAGTGGCCTGTGGGGGTCCTGGAGGATGGCAGGGGCACAACTGGCAGCCAGCGGCTGTTAGACAAGGTGGGAGAGAGCTGAGCTGTCTGCACTCACTCTCCAGCCCCAGGAATGGGGAGCATGGACATGAAATGCACGGGGGAAGGAGGGAGGTTCAGCTGACAAACGCCCCTGCAAGTAAAGGTGGTTCAGAACAAAAAAAAGGCAGGTATGATAATGATAACAATGACAATAATGATAACAATTCCCCTGAGAGAAAACTCTGGTTTTTCAGACCAAGCAACCCCTGTGAGAGTGTAAGAGACAAGAGTGGGGCAGCAGAGGTGGCCAAGTGCAAGGCAGGGAGCACATCCAAGCTCTGTCATGCTGTGCCACCCCAGGGTCCCTCAGATGGAGCAGCAGAGATTACACCCCAGTTTGGGGCACAAAGAGGCACAGGGCCACAGCCCACAAAGAGGAAAGGGTCAGTGGGGGTTCTCCAACCTCCTGGCCTGTACAGGACCAGGGCTTTGTGCAGCCAAGGAGTAGCCAGCCCAAGGCCAGGGCTGTGCTGGGCTGTCCCCCTGTCCTCCCACAAAAAGTGAATCCCCAGCTCTGCTCTCTCTGCAAGCACCAGTCCAAGGAGCCCCTTTGGGGCATTCCCAGAAACAGCTTCAGTGGGAAGAGAAAACCCTGGAGACACAGCCAGAATGGGTCATGACAGACGGGGAGCAATCCCAGCTTCCCTGGGAGCCCTGCACAGAGCTGGCTCTCAGCAGATGGCTGTCCTGGGTTCCTCCAAAGGGATATTTAGCCTCTCAGGGAGAGGAACCAGGCAAATCCTCTGCTCAAGCCCCAAGGCAGATTGCCCAGGGGAGAAGAGATAGCTCTGAATTCCTGGAATAATTAAAAAGCAAGAGAGTTTTAAAATGCAGCAGGTTGGATTCAGTGGGTCTCAAGAGGGAACTGCAGGCCCTGATGGCTCTTGAAGACCACAGGCAGATCTCTGAGATGCAGTTACCTATATTCTCTAAACCATGCCCAAGCCTCCAGGCTTCAGAGAATCCAGCGCTGGGCACCTGCAATTTAATGCACTGAAACATGGGGGCACCTTCCTGGCAGCCTCACCTTCTTCCCAATGGTGAAATACTTGCAGGACTGAGCTTGGTGGGTGGGGATGTTCTGGTAGTGCACAAACTTGCCCTCAGTCCACCTGTAGATGGCCGAGCCCGGTGGCGTGAGCCGGTTGGCCATGGCTGCAAAGAGCCCCAGCCTGGGGATGCTGAACACCTCGATGCCCATCGTCTCCGAGTTGGTCACCAGGTTCTGGTACTCCTCCACGTAGTCCAGCCTCTGTTGGACTGGCAGCCCACAAAAAAAGAGAGGGATGGGGTTAAAACCAGGTGGGTTTAGCTGGAGAGGGCCCCATGAGGGCCCTGCTGCTGTGCAGAGCTCTGAAGGTCCTGGTGCCCCCGGGGGTGAAGGGCCAAACCAAGGGGTGGTAAGAGGCTGGCTGCAGCACTTCCAGCCCCACCCAGCCCTGCCTGGCCTCCAGCAGAGAGCAGAGTGTGTCCTTTGGGAGCAGGAAAGCCCCCATGGCATGGATTTTGATCATTTTGGTGTATTTATCCTCAAGAGAACAGGGAGGAGATGACAGCAGGAGAGGTTAGGGAAGACTAAGACAGCATCCATGCCAGAAATTGGAGCAGAAAGCTCCAGTGCAGCCCTGATAGCAGATGGATGGGTACTGGAAGGGACAAGTGGCAGAAGGGGCAGTGCTGGTGGCACCAAGGGGCACAGGTCAGTAAGGCCCTGGATGAGCTCTCCTTGGGGAATCAGGGACACCGTGCAATCCTGATGGCTTCCAGAGGTAGGGAAGGGTAGGGGGCCCAGTCACTGCTAGCTGCTGTGGGGAACAAATGGCTCATCCAAACCCACCCTGTGGGTATCGGCAGAAGAAATATGCTGGGAGAGGAGGGAAGGGAAGATCAGTTAGGGACTTATCCCATCCCCCATGTCCTCTCCAGGGATGCTGGGAAGACAGCCTGGAGTCAGTGAGAGTGGCAGTGGATGAAATCCATGTCACTATTGAAGAACACCCATCCATCCCATTGCCTTTCCCACCTTGGTACTCCTACTGTTTTCCTTACAAAATGTCCCACCAGAGCCCAGATGACACTGAGACCTGTGTCTGCCACCCTCCCAATCACTCCCAGTATTTCTGGCAGCTGCTGGGTCTCCTTGTTTCCCCTTATCCATCCCACAAACGCTTCAGCACTGGGGCAGCACCCCAACACCCCGAGCATGGCTCTCCCTGGGTTGAGCTGCCCTGCTCAGACAGGTCAGGAGCTCATCCTGCCCACAAAATTCCCAGGAGACACAGATAATGTGGAGGCACCACAGAGGCATGAAATCCAGAGGTGCTCTGGAAGTGTCATGGGCACTGAGAGCAAAGCAAGGCCTGGCCAAGCAGAGCAGACACAGGGGGACACCCCAGCCCCTCACTGCTGCTGATTCCCATCCCAAAGGGGCCTCGAGGGCAAATCTCAGCTCCTGCTCTGCTGCAAGGCTCTCCTTCCCTCCCCAGAGTGCCAGCAGCTCCCCGGGGTACCTTCCAGCATGGAGAGCCAGGCGCTGCCGTTGCAGAGGTACAGCCCTCGGCGGGAGGCGTTGAACCAGAACTGAGCCTTCTCCTGCTTGGAGCAGCGTGGCCGGGCCCCCAGGGTCACCTTCATGTCAGTCTCTGGCCAGGGGAGGAGCGAGGAGCCTCTCAGTGCACACAGGGAGCAGCAGAGAAGGGGAAAACGCCCTGGCCTCATCCTGATGATGGGCATCAGGCAGTGGGGAAAATGGAATGCCAGCACAAATCTGGGGAGCCACAGACTGGGACAACTCACTGTGTGGGGCCACTGACACGAGCCCAGGGACCCGGGCATGGCCACCCTGTCTGTTCAGGGAGATTTTGGACAGGGATCCCAGGGATTGAGAAACAGAGGGTGCTGGGAACAGGAACTCCCTCCTCCTCTCTGCTCCTGCTCCCTTCCCAGCCCCTTGCCCACAGAGGTGGAGGGGCCAGCAGAGCCCTGCCCTGGGGCACTGACCGTAGGGGTATTTGAGCACCTCGTTGCTCACTGGCTTGGCAGGGACATCCTGGAGGACACTGGGGACAGAGAGCGTTGCTACTTTGAAGTTCACAGCGTGGCATATCCGGGGGGTGGCATCAGCTCCTGGCAGCAGCACAAGCTGTCTCAGCAAGCCCTGAGAAAGTGGGAGCAGAGGATGGAGACCAAGACCCACAGATCACAGAATGGGAATTACACGCACAAGCTGTCTCAGCAAGCCCTGAGAAAGTGGGAGCAGAGGGATGGAGACCATGTCCCACAGATCACAGAATGGGAATTACAGGCAATCCGTGCCTTGGATTTCCTGCCTGACTTCTGCTTGTTGCCCTCCCTCCTGGGATGCAGAAGTGCCCACGGGATTCATGCACTTCTGCCAGATGCCCGGCTGGGGCAATCCCACAGCTGATGTAAGGGGCACGGGGCATGGAGCAGTGCCTTGCCGTGCCTCCACATGGGAAGGACCCACAGCCTCCTCTCCCTCCTGTGCCGTGGCCCAAGCCCTGCCAGCATAAAGGACTAAGAGGGCTGTGGGTCATCCCACAGCCAGCCACGGGCACCCACGAGCCCACCTGGGCACCCGGGGCAGCCCACACCACGGGCACCTACCGTGAACACGCCTTTCCTCCTCCGCCTGCTGCCCAGGTAGAAGCTGGCTCTCCTCACCGACAGCGAGGCTGGAAATGGAGTCTCCACCACCCTGGGGATGGGCAGAGAGGAGGTTTCACACAAGAGGACGATTTCACAGCTGGCCAGAGGAGATGCCGATGAAAGAACATCACCCTGCCCGCCCTGCCGGCTGCGCTGCCCCAACCTACACATCCTTGGGGACGCTGCAGTCCACGGTCAAGGAGAAGGACTGGCCGGAGACAGCCAGGACGAGCGTGTGCCACTGGTTGTCGGAGAGGGACACGTTGGGGAAGGTGACGCGGGTCTGCCAGCCGCCGGCGCGCTCCTGGCTCCAGAAGAGGAAGTGGAGCTTGTCGGGGGCGTAGCGCAGCCCCACTAGCACGCTGGGGCTCCCCTCGGCCATCAGCGTGAAGATGTACTCGTTCCTCTGCGGGAGGGCACGGGCTGGCACCTGCGGGGCCACGCTGTGCCCGCGCTGTGCCCGCTCCGTGTCATTACCGTGCCCGCTCCGTGCCTGTACCGTGCCTGCGCTGTGCCCGCTCCCTGCCATTACTGTGCCTATACCGTGCCATTACTGTGTCCGCTCCGTGCCCGCTCCATGCCCGTACCATGCCCGCACCGTACCCTCACTGTGCCCACACCGTGTCCACTCTGTGCTCGTACCGTGCCCGCACAGTATCCACACCGTGCCTGTACCGTGCCCGCTCCATGCCCGTTCCGTGCCATTACCGTGCCCGCTCTGTGCCCATACCTAATTCTCACCGTGGATGTACTCGTTCCTCTGCGGGAGGGCACGGGCTGGCACCTGCGGGGCCGCGCTGTGCCCACTCCGTGCCCACTCCGTGCCCACTCTGTGCCCACTCTGTGCCCGCACCGTGTCCGCACCATGTCCACACCATGCCCGCACCGTGCCATTACCGTGCCCGCACAGTGCCTGTACCGTGCCCACACTGTGCCCACTCCGTGCCTGTACCATGCCTGCTCCGTGCCATTACCGTGCCCATACCGTGCCCGCTCCATGCCTGTACCATGCCATTTCCATGCTATTTCCATGCCATTACCGTGCCTGTACCATGCCCGCTCCATGCCCGCTCCGTGCCATTACCGTGCCATTACCATGCCATTACCGTGCCGTTACCGTGCCGTTACCGTGCACGCACAGTATCCACACCGTGCCTGTACCGTGCCCGCTCCATGCCCGTTCCGTGCCATTACCGTGCCCGCTCTGTGCCCATACCTAATTCTCACCGTGTCCACACCGTGCCTGTACCGTGCCCGCTCCGTGCCCACACCGTGCCATTGCCGTGCCATTACCGTGCCCGCACCGTGCCCGCTCCTTGCCTGTACTGTGCCTGTACCTAATTCTCACCATGTCAACACCGTGCCCGCCGTGCCGTTACCGTGCCATTACCGTGCCGTTACCGTGCCGTTACCGTGCCACTGCCCGGCCGCGCTCACCTTGGCGGGGCGGCGCAGCGCCCGCAGCGTGGCGATGATGGAGAACTCCTCGGGGAAGCGGTCGCAGTGGACGAAGAGCCGCGAGGCGGGGAAGGCCAGGGCGCGGGGCGGCGAGGCCGAGAGCTGCAGGCCGAGCAGCCCCCGAGCCCGCAGCACCCGCACGCCGCGGGCCGGGGCCCCGGGCGGCACCGCCTCCGCCAGCACGTCCAGCGGGCGCAGCTCTGTGCGGGACACAGCGCGGGTTTATCAGGGTTTGTCGGTGTTTGTCAGCGTTTGTCAGTGTTTGTCAGTGTTTATCGGTGTTTATCGGTGTTTATCGGTGTTTATCGGTGTTTATCCGTGTTTATCAGTGATTATCGGTGTTTATCAATGTTTATCGGTGTTTATCCGTGCTTGTCAGTGTTTGTCAGTGTTTATCGGTGTTTGTCAGTGTTTATCAGTGTTTATCAGTGTTTGTCAGTGTTTATTAGTGTTTGTCAGTGTTTATCAGTGATCATCGGTGTTTATCAGTGTTTGTCAGTGTTTATCGGTGTTTATCAGTGTTTATCATTGTTTGTCAGTGATTATTGGTGTTTATCGGTGTTTATCGGTGTTTGTTTATGAGTGTTTATCGGTGTTTATTGGTGTTTATCAGTGTTTATCGGTGTTTATCAGTGTTTGCTTATCAGTGTTTATCGGTGTTTGTTGGTGTTTATCAGTGATTATCAGCATTTACCAGTGTTTATCGGTGTTTGTCAGTGTTTATCAGTGTTTATCAGCGTTTATCAGCGTTTGTCAGTGTTTGTCAGTGTTTATCAGCGTTTATCAGTGTTTATCAGCGTTTAACGGTGTTTGTTGGTGTTTATCAGTGTTTGTTTATCAGTGTTTATCAGTGTTTATCAGTCTTTATCCGTGTTTATCAGTGTTTATCCGCGTTTATCAGCGTTTATCGGTATTTATCAGTGATTATCGGTGTTTGTCGGTGTTTATCAGTGTTTGTCAGTGATTATCGGTGTTTATCGGTGTTTATGAGCGTTTATCAGTGCTTGTTTATCAGTGTTTATCCCCGCTGCGGGATGCGGGTGCGCGCCCAGCAGCCTGCCCGGTGGAAGAGCATCGCCCCGTCCCCTGCTGCAGGGTGGGATTTGCCCTTCGGACACAAGGCTGGCACGGCACCGCTGGGGCGGCTCTGAGCGCTGGCACCGGAGCCGGGAGATGCCAGCCCGGCAGCTCCTCGGGATGCAGCGGCAGCAGCAGCCTCAGCCAGGAGGGCAGGCAGGGCTGCGGTGCCGCAGAGCGGCTCTCAGGACAGCCAGCTGTCCCCATCCCTGTCCCCCCAGGACAGCTCCACCCCTCGGGTCCCGTCCAGGCTCTCCCAGCCCAGCCCTAATTGCACACACGCACACGCACTCTCCCGGCAGGCACCAAAACCACTCATTATAAATAATTACCCTCTCCCCGGAGAGGAGAACGCCGTGCCAGCCCCAGGGCATCGCCCCGGTGGGAGCACACGGCACCGCAGCTCCAGAAAGTGCCACCCCACGGAACAATGCCAGGGGTGGCACAGGAAGGGCTGGAGCAGCTGTGGGGACTTCTCCTGCACCCTCCTGGCTTTACTTTTGAACGCTGCTCTGGCAGAGAAGGGAGCTGCTGCCCGAGAGATGAAGCAGCACTTGGCTGCACTAAACATCCCTGGTTCCATCCCGCCCCGCTGAGAGCTGGCTTTTAGCTCCAATTTGTACTAATAAATGCGGGCTGCTGGGGCACGGCGGGAGGGCTGGGAAGGAGGGAGCTGCGAGCAAGGCTGGCTGTGTGTCTGAATCCAAACCAGCTGCGGAAGGGAAGCGCTTCCTGCACACACGCCTGGCCAGCCCAGCCCAGCCCCAGGTGGGCAGAGCCAGCAGGAATGTGCTCGTGTGGCTCCATCCGGACCAGAGCAGGGAGATGGGTGAGGTCCTTCCCACCCTGGCAGCTCTGCGTGCCCCCTGCCCGCCCCGCTGCTGGTTTAAGCTGCTCCTAAAGCAAAGTCTTGGTGGGGGAGTTTTAACTGGAACAGCTCATTTCAGAAATGCATCACTCGGGCAACGGCCAGTTCCTGTTTTTCCCAGCAAAAAGTACAAGCTGAACTCAGGCTTGGATTTGCAGAGGGGTTTAGGAGCCCCCAGTTGCCCCTGAGATGCTGAGGATGAAGAGGGGAGAGCTCAGCTGGTGCTGGAGGTTGTGGGCCAGGAAGGGGCCAAGTCCTAAAACCAAACCCAAATCCCTAAATCCAAAGGTCTGCCTCCCACATCCATCACTGCTAAGGCTGGCAGAGCAGCTGGGGTGCTCCAGCCCAGCTTGGGCAGCACAGGTGGCATCAGTGGGGCTTGTGCTGGGGTCCCCAGGATGATGCTGGGGCCTCAGCACCCCCTGGATCCCTCCAGCTAAGGCTGCCTGGGGACAGCAGCGACATTCCCAGAGAGATTGGGGCACCTTGGGGAGGAGGCAGTGGGCAGAAACTCCCCATTCTCCCCCTGTTTTTCTTCTCACATCACCTGGGCTGTACAAAAAGCAAATACAATTGCCATCAGACTGGGACAAGCCCTAAGCACGCAGAGCCTGGGCCCGAGCGGCCCCAAAAGCTGAGCTCAGCTGGGCTGCCCACACAGCACAGGGATGGGATGGGATGGGATGGGATGGGATGGGATGGGATGGGATGGGATGGGATGGGATGGGATGGGATGGGATGGCAGAGCCAGGGCAGGGACCCTCCTTGTCTCGGGAAATGACACCGGAGCTCCGGCCGGGAATGTGGGACGGAATTTTTGCTGCCGGGAGGGTGGGGGTTGTGCCTGTCAAGAGCACAGAGGAGGGACTTTCCAGGGGGACTTTCATGGCTCTCCTGTCCCTTTTCCCAGTCCATCCCCTGCCCCAGCAGAGCCTGGGGCCGCGCCGGTGCCCCAGGGACAGGCACAGCTCTCCCCACGGCTCCCAGAGGGCTGGCTGCTCCCCCGTGGGCCCTGGGGGGGCTGCAGGCACAGGAATGACCCCACACCCTGCCACCACCACCCATGGGTGCTGCCATGCAGCCCCGAGGTGCACAGGGTGGGCACTGAGCACAGAACACGGGGCTGGGCTGCCAGCGAGAGCATGCCCCCCAAAACAGAGCACCCTCAGAGCACCCCAGCCGTGGGACAGCCCCGTCCCACACCTGTGACACCCCTGTCCCCTCCCGTGGCTCCTACCTGTGCAGTGCTGCCACGTCCGGCCGGAGCCCCCGGCGCTGGCCCAGCGGAGCAGCAGCAGCCACAGCAGCAGTGCCGCCGACATCGGGGTGTGCCCTGGGGGGGTCCATCCACCGGGACCCCCCCCAGTCCGCCCTGCCCTGCCCGGCTCAGCGCCCCGGGGGCTCGGGCATGCTCTGCCCCGGGAGCCCCGGCACCGTGTCAGCCCCGGCTGCCGCAGCCCGGCTCCGTGCCCATGCTCTGCCCGGGCATCGCCCCCGGGGGGCTCCCGGGGGGCTCCTGGGGGGCTCCCGGCAAGGCAGTGCCGGCTGCAGCCTGCACACAGACATTTAAATGAGAGGTCGGTGGTGGGAGAGGAGGAGTCCCGGCTCCTCCAGAGCTTTTATCTTTTGCCCAACCCTCTGGAAGGCGGCTTTGGGGAGGGATTTTTTAATCGTTATTTTTTGCTTGCTTTCTTCGCTTCCTTTCATTTTTGGTGATTCATTTTTCTGGGTTCGCATGGGAGTAGGTGAGAGATTCACTCCTGCCTGGAGAGGGCTGGGTGGGAGCCCTCCTGCCCCTAAATGCATTGGTTTTCAGCTTGTATTGGGTGAGAGACCCTCTGACCCCTCTGATCCCACCCCACCGTGGCCAGGTCCCAAAAACTGCACATTTCTCCCCCGGCATTGCCCCAGGCAGGTGATGCCCACGCCATGCCCCAGGCCAGGCTCCATCCCAAGGGCCAGCCACCAAAAATGCCACCGATTCAGAAACCCTCCAGGTTGTGCTGCTCCGAGGGAAGCACCAGCAGTGGGAAAGCTCCCTGCACACAGCGAGCTCCGCTGGGCTCCACCAGCCACAGAACCAGGCTCTTCCCTTCCCCAAACAATTGAAAGAGGCTCCCACCCCCCTGGTCCCCACAGCCTTCCTGCAAGGCCAGCGCTAGAATGGGAAGCGGATGGCGAGGACCAAACGCCAGAAATTGTGTCGCAAACTGGGGGTTCTGTCAGCCAGGAAGAGCCAGAGCCCGACCCACAGCCGTGCCTGCTGTCAGTCTGTCCTCACCCCGGAGTGCTGGGGCTGAGAGTGCAGCCCAAGGAGTGCAGCACCATGTCCCACACCCCCACAGGAGCTGTCTGAGCCCCACGCAGCCCAGGGCACCAGGACATTGGTGCCTCTGTCTCAGAGGCTGCAGAGTGGCTGTGTGCCTGTCCAACAGCCCCAGCAGGGCTGCATGGAGCTCCCCGCTCCTAACAGCCTCCCTTTGGGCATCCCCCAAATTCGGGTTCCACCAGGATCGTGCTTAAACAGAGCTTAGCCTCTCTGCAAGAGATGAGGCACTGCTGCCTCCTCATCCTCATGGTCATCCTCATGCTAGGGATGGTGCCCAATGGCACAGCCACAACCAAACCTGGGGGTCCCAAAAGGTAGGTGGGGGTCCTGAATGGCACCTGGGAGCTCCAAAAGGCAGCTGGGGGCCCTGAATGGCAGCTGCTGGAGGTGAGCACAAGGGATGCAGGAGGACAAACCACCCCATCTCCCCTGACAGGCACAGTCCCTCCTGAGGGCACCCACCAGGGCTGGGACTGGGAGCAGTGGCCTCACTGAACCCCAGGCCATGGGGAGAAGGAGAGTGGTGTTCCAAGCACGTCTGGCACAGAGGTGGGCACTGCAGGGAAAGCTCCTGTCAGGTTGGAGCTGGGCAAGGCATCACAAACAAGAATCAGAGCCACCACATTTCCCAGGGCTGCACACATGTGTCAAGTTAAGCGTGGCTTTGGGAGCTGGCAGAACTGCCCTGAGCAAGGGATGGGTTTGGGGGAGGCTCCTGCTGAGGCTCTGCAAGGGTCCAGGGAGGGAGGGAAAATCCTGGCAGAGATTCTGAGTCCATTGGTTTTCCAAAAAGGATGCAGCTACCTTTCAGTGCTTTCTTGGCCAAAAAACCAGTCAGTGGGGACATCCTCACCAAGGACAAGCTGTGGGTGCCCCCTCAACACACAGAGAGACCTGTGGGCTTCCAGGCAAGAGGTGGAGGACTGAAGCCCCCAGTGATGAGCACAGAGGACATGGTGGGCTCAGCTGCTGTTCAGCCACGTTAATGAACAGTCTCCAGGTGAGGACAGGGACACTGGAGGTCCTCAAGGGTTCCCCCTCTCTGGGCTGGGATGCTGGCGTGGCAGGAGATGGTGGAGTGGCTTGGCCAGTGCCTGGTGCTTTGCTCCCTGCCTGGGGAGCCGAGCTGTGATGTGAAGTAAGGACAGGGACATGCCGCTCCCCGCCGTCACACTGGGTCCAGAACCTGCTCCTTGTCCCCAGGACAGTAGGAAGTGGTCTGCAAAATAGCTCCTAAGCACACAGGCACACATTCCTGTGTGCAGAAACAAGCACGAGGGGATGAAATAAAAGAGACAAACAGCGAGACGTTTGCCTAATTCGCATGGGGCGTAAATAAAACCATGTGGCGGCTCCGAACAAAATGATCCTTGGATTTTCACCAGCAAGGTTTGGCCATCCCTGCGTTAGGAAAGGTTGAGAAACCCATCTGTAGGCAATCCACTGCAAGCAGAGCTTTCACACAGGGGACAGTGCCAGGAGGGCACCTCGCCGACGCCAGGGAGCGGCTGGACCCCGCTGGACACGGGGAACGTTCCTGCTCTTCCAAGGCTGTAACTCACTCCTTATTATTTGCAGACACAAAGCCGTGTTTCAGGGCTTCATGCCTTACTCATTTCAGCCTTTATTCCTGACATCTGTACATAATCAGAGAATCCTTTAGGTTGGAAAAGACCTCTAAGTCTGTCAAGTATTTTGCCCTGAAACGCAGCGCAGGCATCAGCAAGGGCAAAGCTTTGAGGGACCCCATAAGTAACTGATGGACAAATGCCCATCCCATGGTGTCCCCAGCTTTTGTCTACTCTGCTGTCTGCACCAGCAGGGCCAGCAGAGCCTGCCACACTCACAGCCACGGGGGTAGAGCTGGAGGTCAGTGATGAGCACGAGGAGCTGGTCTCACCTGTGTGAGCAGCAGGGTGGACATCAGCCCTTTGGGATCAGTTATGAAGGGATTGGGGAGAATTGTTCTCAGAGTGACATCCCAGATCGCAGTTCCCCAAACCACAGTTTGGGTTCAGCAACTGCAACACCTTCCCCAGGATGGTGGGATGAGGTCTCCATCCTCAGCCGCTTCCAAGGCTCCTCCCTTGTCACCTCTGCCCTTTCTCCCAGGCTGAAAATCTTCCCTGTGTTTCCTGGAGCAACTGCAGCTCCCTGAGTCCAACCCAGCACCATAAAGCAGTTCCGGCAAGGGATCCCCACACCAGGAAACCTGTCAGCATGGCACAGAAGCGCAAACATCTTTAACCCCAACGCCTTTCAAAAGCTGGATTCCCAGAAGTTTTGGAGAGGTTCTGCCAGGAAAAGTTTTGTGAAAGACTGGGAGGATTGCAAAAGGCACCGTTTTTAGGAAAACCACCAAAAAAAAAAAAAAAAGCACAAAGCCTCCCCAACACAGCAAGTGCTGCTGCCAGCTTCCCAGCACGGAGCTGCCCTCGGGAGCAATCCCTGCCAGGCGGTGGCCAGCCACCAGCACAGCTCGTGTCCCAGAGCCCTCCCTGGCCCCACAGGCACCGCCAGCCCCAGGGAAGGAAGGAGCTGGGAGCCCCCAGCTTGCTTTGGCCATGGCAGCAGGCAGTGGGTTGCAGCCCACGGGCCTGTCCAGGCAGCCAGGAGGAAGCTGAGCATCCTGCCCTGCATTTGGAGGACACATGGTGGCAGCTGAGCTGGCAGGCTCTGAAGGGGCTCCAGAAAGCAGACACTCAACTTTCACCAGTGCAAGGGAAGACAGGCTTTGAGACCACGCTTCCACACTGGGGCTGTTTTGGGTGGGACTGTGCAGCCCCCACAGCTGCATTCCCCTCATTTCACCCTGCATGTGACCAATAGCTCTTCACTATTGCCTGTCCCTCCTTGATGTAGTTGTTTTAATTTTTGTCACCTTCCCACCAGTGTGCCCAAACCTGTTGAAGAGGCTGAGGCACCTCCCCAGAGCTGCAGGATCCCCAGGCTCACCCCGTTGGATGGACAGCACCCAACCCAGGCAGCCGTGAGCACACTGACTGTGGGAACAGTGCTCTGGGTGTTTTCTGTAGATCTCAGGTCTGCACAGAGGCAGAAGAGCAGGACAGGGGCCTACAGGTCACTGCAGGAGCTCTGCCTGGACCCCCAGCTCCACCTGCAATGGGAAAATTCTGCTTGGCTTGGAGCTCAGCTGAGATCTCTCTGCCAAGGGAATAAAGAGCAATGCAGAAGCCAAGGGGAAGCAGGCAACATTCATGTTCCATGCTCACTGCCTGTGCTTTAATTTCCTTCAGCAACGACTCTTGTCCCAACCCTGGGGTTGTGCAGAGCAGCTGGGGTTTTGGAAACACCTCTGAGCTTTCCTGCACCAGGATCAGCAGCTCAGCAGGCTGAACAAGCACACCTAGGGGCTCTGCGTGGGGAGCTGTCAGCTTGGCCAAGCAAACCCCACGCCAAGGCTCTGTGCTGACTGTGCCCAGAGATGTTGTGGACTCTCCATCCCTGAAAATGTTCAGTGCCAGGCTGGATGGGGATTGGAGCAACCCGGGCTAGTGGAAGGTGGGTTGGAGTCAGATGAGCTTTAATATTGCTTCCAACACAAACCACTTGGGGATTCTGATTCTGTGATCTCTCTCCGTAGGCTGCCTTGGAGAAACACCTGAGCCCCAGGGCTGGCTCTGGCACGGCGAGAGGAATCTCCCTTGGCAGAGCAGGGGGAAACCCTCCTCCCCTGTGCTTGTAGCCTTTGATCTGGGCAGTGACCACACGCAGCAGCTCTCAACAGGCAGAAGGCAGAAAGCAGCAAGAGCCACAGCGAGGAAACCCAGGGATTTCCCCCCACGTGCTCGGGCCCACTGAGGACTGCCAGGGATAGAAAATGGGAAGCACAGTGCTGCTTGGGCCAAAATGACCCCATGGCTGCCAAGTCAGGGAGCAGTCAGCAACTTCTCTGCCACAAGCCCAGCTCAGACCCCTGCCCGGGAGAGTGTGGGCACCACAATCCCCTCCCAGAGCTGGCAGCAATCTGGGCTGAGATCCCTCAGCAAACAGCAGCTTTAGCATCTGCAGCCACAAGAAAACCGCCTGCCCCCAGACACAGAGAATCACTGGCCCATTTTATCGCTGGTGTGACAGTGCCAAGGTTTAATTGTGCCAGGAGCGAGGATCCCGGCTCGGGCTGCCCGTGCCCACCCGCCGGCAGCGAGCGCGGCCCCATCTCCTCCGACATCCGGCGAGGAAAGGGAACAAAGGCACAGAACAATTCCTATTGTTTTCCGGAACTTTCTTCAGGGCAGCTCTTCCAGCGCAATGCTGCTGCCCAGTTGTGAAAAAGGCGAGTTTTACGAGTGGCTTTTCGCAAATATTAAAATGAATATTATATGTGTTGTGTTAGAAAGTTATGCTGTGTTCATTTTCTTAAGTAGTGTGTTAAATATAGTTTTAGGTTATAACATAATGTTAAAAAAGAAACAATGCTATGTAGGATACTTTTTTTTTAAGAAAGGACTCGCACCGAGATAGCAGCCACAGGACACCTAAATCTTTCAGAGAAAGAGAATTTATTTCCCCAAAGAAAGGACTTGCACCGAGATAGCAGCCACAGGACACCTAAATCTTTCAGAGAAACAGAATTTATTTCCCCCTTATCACAAGAAACTAACTTCTTCCTGCCTCTCTCAGCCCTGAAGGCACTGTCAGGATTAAGAGGAAGAAGTCGACACTGACCAGACAGAATCCTTTGTTTGAATGGAAGTTATGCATTCTGTATGAGGTGTATGAATATGCAACAGGCTACTGTTTTTCAGGGTTAATCCTCTGTTAAAGGTGTGTCCTTTTTCTGGCTTATTTCACCCAGAAAGAGGTCCCCAGCCTGTCCCTAACTCTTTGTTTTTATTGTCTCGTATTGTCCTAACCTCAATTGTCCAAATTTCATTACTCTAACTATATTACTATTTTTATAACCATTTTATTACTATTAAACTTTAAAAATTTTTTAAATGAGTGATTGGTGTTTTTCACAGCAGTCACTGTGGCTGCAGCCCCCCACGCTTGGAGCGGGGCAGGTGCCAGTGGGGACACGGGTCCTGTGCCAAGGTGCCTGCCACCAACCCTCTGAGCCTGCACAGAGACACAGACAGCACTCTTAGCAGGGTTATCTGCTCCCCACAGCTCCTCTCCTGCTCCACAGCAGCACCGGGCATTCCTGAGGGGCTCAGGCATGGGAATATGGCAGTGCTAGGTGAATGGTTTGTCTCCATGATCTCAGAGGTCTTTTCCAACTAAACAATTCTGTGATGACACCCAGATTCCTGTGACCAGCCAAGGCACAGTGCCTGTGGTGGGGAAGGAGAGAGCTCAGCACGGGCTCAGAGTGAAGGAGATCACCCTGATCACTTGTCCAAGGGAAGTAGAACACCCTGATCACTTCTCAAAGGGAAGGAGATCACCCTGACCACTTCTCCAAGGGAAGGAGATCACCATCATCACTTCTGTGGGTCTCCCCCACAGAAGCATCTACAAAAGCATCTACAGAAGAATCATATAAAGGTTTGGGTTAGAAGGGACCTTAAAGTTCATCCAGTTCCACCCCCTGCCACGGGCAGGGACACCTTCCACTGTCCCAGGTTGCTCCAAGCCCCGTCTAACCTGTCCTTGGACACTCCCAGGGCAGCCATAGCTTCTTCTCTGAGCAAAGAAGGCATCTACTGTGCGAGAGAGAATTCAGCCTATGAGCCTTGTAGGATGGTGATGAATGGTTAAACAAATCAAACCAGTCACTGACTGGGTGCTCCAGGGACAGATCCTGAAAGTTTAAAATGCTAAGTGAGGCTGGATGGGGACACTCTGGACAAGTGGCTTCTCCAGTAACACTGATGTTTTTGTAAAGCCACACTTCATACAGAGCCTTAGGAGCTTCCTACAGCCCACAAAGCCCAGCTCTCCCACCAAGGCCATGCCCAGGTTCCAAGGAGAAGATCCCATATCAAACCAGGATGTGGCAAGGACAAAGCTCAGCTTCTAACTGCCTCTCCAGACAAAGTGAATTGGAAAGCACCTGGACTCCAGCCTGCCTGTCTGCCATCCTCCTCCATTGCAAGAACTGGTGAGAAAAGCCAAGCTCTGGCTGAGCAAAGCCTCTCTGAAGCCACACTCACAGCAAGCCTATTAGATACCAAGGAAGGATCTCCAGCCCCAGAGGTTTTTGCTTCAGAACAAGTTCACCTGATCCAACCCACTCCGTATTTCACCATTTCCTAGCTCCTAGGGATGGATGGCAAGGGGAAAAAAGGCATCCCTGGGGAAGAGCTCTGCTGTTCATTTTCAGCCTGGAGACCTGGGCATGTCTCTAACACACCTGTCTCACAGAGGGAGATCCCCCAGCATTGACCTGCTGACCAAGCTTGGAGGGATCCATCTGGGACTGGCTCTCCCTGAGGGGTCTTGCTCTGACTGGCAGAAGAAGACAGGAGAGGAGTCTGTGTGAGCCCACCCCAGGCAGACTCAGCAAAGAAACCCCGATTCATTCAACATCCCCACGCCAGCCCAATTGGGCTCAATCTGCCAAATTATTTTGGCATGGGGAAAACTGTTTGGGGCCCAAACTTCCATCCCAGCTGTGGGTGGAGAGCCTCCCCAAGCTGGGCCCTGCACCCAAGAGCGTGGGTGCCCCCCACCCCCTGCGTGTTGCATCCTGCATTTGTGCTGCTTTGAACCCACCTCCCGTGTCACCCCGCAGCCCTGGCTGCAGCAGGGGTGTTTGCCTCCACTCCTCAGTGAGCTCTGGCCCAGGACAGCCCTTCCTGGCCACCCCCTGCATCCCTCCAGCCAGGGACAGAGCCCCAGCCTCATCCCCCACTCAGGATGCAGAGGAAGGGGACCCAGGGCAGGACTTGGCTCATCTCCCCCACGCCCTTCAGGGACATGACCAGACAGACCCGCTCCCAAATCCCTCCTGAGAGCTCCCCCACACCCTGCTCACACCAGCAGCTCCCCTGTAACAACCCCGGGGCCGTGGCACTGCCATTCACCAGCTATCCACAGACCCCATCATCTCCCCCCCTGCCCAGTCCCCTCTTGGGGCGGTGAGCCCCCTTTAAAAAACACCTGGCTGGTTCTCCTGGGGCTCTTACCCACCTGCCCAGGGAGAAGACCCTGGGAGATCACCAGGACTGGAAGGCACAGAGCTCCCAGCCACCCCACACTCCTGTGGGGCCATGAGAGCACCAGGCAGGACCACCAAATGTCACACGGCTGGAACACTTCCCTCCTCAGTGATGTTTCATCCCTGCAGCACCAGGGAGCCTGGCACAGCACTTCTGGTGCCCAAGACATCAGGTGGCACCTGGCAGCAGGAGAGGGGACATCAGGAGCCCTTGCAATGCCACATCCATGACAATCCCAGTATCAGCAGCACGGCTGGCACTGGGAAGGGACATTTCAGATCTGTGCTGCTTCTCCTTTCCATTCTCACAGGGGGAAAACACATAGAGCATCCTCACCAGGAAGACACCTGGCACAGAGCTTCCCTGTTGCATCCATCCCAATGCAGAACACCACCTTCCACCCAAGATATCACCCCAGAAAGGCAAAAAAAAAGCTGGCAGGGAGCCCGGGGCTGGCTCTGCCCCCGAGCTGCAGCCGTTTCATGTGGCTCCAACGCCTCTCACACTTTCAAAGGCACACCAACCCAGCTAATGGATGTCTCACAGCCCACTGTGTGTGTTCTGACACAGCCCCTCTGCCAAGGGAAAACAACAGTGAGCGTGTGTGGATGTGTGTATATACAAAGGCTTGACAGAGGATGTTGCTTGCATTTTTACAGCTTTGTTGAAGGGTTTGGTTGGGGTTCTTTTTTTTAATGTAAAAGCCTAAAGCAAATACAATCCAGAGAAAAGGATTTTTTAAAAAAAATCTTTAATACTTTACCTACATGCATAACACCTGTAGAGCTCTGAGACTCCCCAAGGAACATGTTTTATAGTAAATGTTTCAGGCTGAAAAAACACAACTGCTCAGAAAAACATTGCTACTGGCCACTACTGCACATCCTGCCAACAGGAGTGTTCATTCAGGGACACAATGGAGTTTTTCAGGGAAGTCTATCCCAGGAGCTACACACCAGCTTTACAAGCTTTAACCTTCAGGTGTTCCCCACCTGCAGCAAGGTGTCTGTGCCATGGAACCCTCTCAGCTGGTCACAGCAGGAGCCCACACAGCTCCACTGTGTGAGCTGAACCCTCCTGCTTTATGCAAGGATTCATTTTGTTGCAGAATAATGAAGTTTTAACTCTTTTTGGCAAAGAGAAACAGGGAATCTAATGTGCCAACCACACTGCCACCTTCAAACCTTCCACAGAATCCCAGAATGGTGTGGGTTGGAAGGGATCTTAAAGCTCATCCCATTGCAGCCACTGCCATGGGCAGGGCCACCTTCCACTAGCCCAGGCTGCTCCAAGCCCTGGTCTTGGACATTTCCAGGGATCCAGGGGCAGCCACAGCTTCTCTGGGCACCCTGTGCCAGGGCCCCACCACCCTCACAGGGAGGAATTCCTTCCTGAATGCACACAATGAGCAATGAATTTCTTTTGACAAACACAAATGCTCACCCACGGGCTTCAGCTGAGTAAACAGCCACCAGCTAGGACAGCTCTCACCTCACCACCAGGTTTCAGTCCTCTGAGGTGAACTCCTGCCCACATTTTGTCACCTTTAACACTGAGAGGTAGATATAGTCACTGGGGGGCTTCAAATGCTATCAGCAAGCCCACTGCATGTCAGTTACTTAAAAAATAAAGGTTTTTTACTTTGGAGCAGAGATTTGAGGACTATGGGAACTCTGAGTGGGAAGTGGGCATGTGAGAAACCTGCTCAAGTGGAAGCTGTCCCTGTCCATGGCAGGGGGGTGGAACCAGATGGTCTTTAAGGTCTGTTCCCACCCAAACCATTCAGTGGTTCTATGAGCTATGGAAGTGGGCATGTGAGAAACCTGCTCAAGTGGAAGCTGTCCCTGTCCATGGCAGGGGGGTGGAACCAGATGGTCTTTAAGGTCTGTTCCCACCCAAACCATTCAGTGATTCTATGAGCTACGTGTCCTCCTCAGATCCAAGTGCTGATACCAGCACATTCTGAATGAATTCACCTGCTGCACGTTCACCACAACTTCCTAGGTCAGACACACAGCTATAACAACATTTGTAAGGAGCAAACTACACCCCACCTGCCCACCATCAGATTTTTATATTTCCTTTGAATTACCTAGCCACTGCTAGCATTAACGTGTCCTCCTCAGATCCAAGTGCTGATACCAGCACATTCTGAATGAATTCACCTGCTGCACGTTCACCACAACTTCCTAGGTCAGACACACAGCTATAACAACATTTGTAAGGAGCAAACTACACCCCACCTGCCCACCATCAGATTTTTAGTTTTCTTTGAATTACCCAGCCACTGCCAGCATTAGAGACAAGACATTTGCCTGGAAAGTCCATGCAATCATGTCAGCTCTTTCACTCCTAAAGTGTGCCATGTTTTAACTGGGTTAGAATGAACCCTTGCACCCCTTTGGAAGAGTCTCAGCTGTGTGGTTACTCAGATACAACACCCACTGCAACACATTCATGTACAACTATAAAAGGAGAAAATATAAGCACTTTATTTTCAGTATACAGACTAAATCCCACCATAAAATCAAGATAATGAGCAAGCACACATGAATAAAACACTCAGCACTTAAGCAAACCCCACTTTTGCCACATCTGTGTTTCTGCAGTGGCTCCTGCAGCTCTCCAGGGTTGTTCCCAAAGGTGGCTGCAGGACTCCCAGGAACAATCCTCCCTCTACTCCAGAAAACACTCCCAGTTCGCATAAAGTGCTACATTTTCCTGTATGCCTTGAAATACTAGTTAGGTACAACACTATTTCATCATCTCTGCTCCCAAGCTATGTCCAGTCCCACTTCCACCCCGACATCAAAGCCACAATTACTTCTACAAGGAGGTAAAATCAGCAGGTTGTAGCAACACAACTCTCCAGAGGTGCACAACGATGGCAAAGTGTGATGTGCAGCACAGACAGCAAGACAGAAATGCTGAACAGTTGTACCACACACATGCACACCATCACCTCTGTAAAGCTTTCTTCATGGTGTGACTCCTTCCACATCACAATTTTTCACATTAAAAAAACAAAAAAACAAACCAGCCCTTGTCAAATTTAGCCCATTTAAAGCTGCCAACAAAATTGGATTCCATGTGCTATCAGTGGGCATGTTATTGCTTGTAGTAAATTGGAGAAATTTGGACCTACACATAAGATTGGCTTGCAAAGCAGAAAGGTCAGCAGAGGTCCCTCAGCAGATTTAGGAACTGACCAGCTGGATTTCCTGCACCCCTCACACTGGCTACAACACTGCAAATGTCCAAAGCACACACAGTGCCATGCTCAGCAAACAGCCCATGCTCTCTGGCTCCCATTTAATGCACAAGAGCACTCAGTGTAGTGCCACAGGTCACTTCTGTAAGTCCATCATGCTCACCTTGGCTCCTTCACCTGGAAATGGGTGACAGGGCTGGAATGGCAAAGCAGTGCCAAACCCTCTCAACACTCACATGCCACCAGAGTGAGCTGATATTCCTGCAGAGCTGTGAACATGCCCAGCCCAGCAAACACATCCTCACTGGATTTTCCAACCTGCCTCACCCAGGTGACCTTGCACAATCCAGCCTTTACACCTCATGCCTCTGAGTGTCAAGTTTACAACTGAGTGTCTTCAAGGACTAATAAAGCAGCTCTTGGGATTTCTGCCAAGCCAACACTGACTCAAAGGCTCAGTACAAACTCACAGTGCTACATGGGAACACCAGGCCATTCCAGACCCCCAGCCAGTCCTCACAGCTCACTCCCTACAGTTCCTTTCTTTGCTAACACACCTTGACTACAGCCCTGCTATACAGCCTCTCCTGCTAACTATACTCTTCAAATCAGATCTGACTGCAACTGCTGCCCTTAACCTAACAAGTACAGAATGGATAGAGTAATTCCTGTCTACTGCTGCTCCAGATGCAATGCTACCTATAAAAACACAACTAATTCTGCCAGCAGACGATCCAAAGCAGCACTGCTCTCCAACAGCAGATGGGTGAGGGAGGGCTGCAGATTGCCAAGTCTCCAGGCTTTCCACACCACAAAGTAAGGCAGCAACAAGCAGCCTTTGAAACAGCATTGTCTCTGTATTTTTCTCTACCATTAAATCCCTTTTTCACAATTTAGTGAGTGAACTAGAGGCTTCTCTGGAGCAGTGGAAGAAAAGAGATGGTAAATAAATAACGAATTATAAGAACTAGGCCAATAGTTTTACAAAGTTTTCCTTTTTGGTACCAGCACTGAGCACTGCTCGTTTCCAGGTGGAGAGAAATACAAAACACTTCAGTCTCTCTGTGAGCTTAAAGTCCAAGTGACTTCTGCACAATCTGCTTGGCAATTTTGTTAAATTGTTCTCTGTCTTCCCGCCACATCTTGGAGGCATCTACATTGGCTCCACTTTCATCATTTGGCTCTGAAACAAGAAAGACAAAAGTAGGTGGGCAATGGAGCTTCTTGCTTCTTCAGAAATGCCACTTCCCCAAGGCTTTGAAACACTTCCCCTCCTTGAGACTGCAGAAACACCTCCACAGCAAGTCCAGTGACAGCTCCTGCACTCCCAAAAGGCTCTGATTTAACCAACCACAAGAGAAAGGCTATCACAACAAATTTGAGTTTAGGAAAGAAACAAGTGGCACAGGAGCAGGAGTTTCTTTTGTTTGTGCTTTCAGCAGTGGAGCCCCACCATGCACATGGCCAACACAATGTGGCACACCCAATACTGTCAAGGGCTTTTAAAACAGTGTGTTTTTCCCCACAGAATTTTTTTTTCTTGTTCTCCAGCTTCCCAGACACTCCAAGCAGGCCATCCAAACAGGTTGTCACTTGTTGGGATGGCTTGTTCTATTAAAAACCAACAAAACAATCCAAGGAAACCCATGGAATATGCTTTCACTTCTGCAACATCTTTCATCAGATGATTTCAGAATGCTTTATGAAGCACATGGAGTGCTGAAGTGCCAGGGGCTCCACATTTTTTATGGAGGTGAGCTGAAACCTAGGATTTACAAGGCCAGTTCATGGCAGTATCTAAGTTCCATCCTTCTCCACGTGATCCTGATGGTCCACCTGAAAAACCAGCAGGTGTGCAGGTCACCCAGCCTGCTACACCTGGGCTTACACTGCAGAGCCAGGGCTCAGAGTTTTAAACCAGTACCCTGAAAGAAGCTGACCACTGGTGTTTTAGGCTAATTGCTCCAAAAGCCATGGGAAAAGAGGATGCACAGGCAGGGAAGGAGAGCAGGTGGCTCCCAGACTTCCCAGTCCAGGTGAGGCTGCACCACAAACCAAGCTCTTGGCTGGGAATCCCATGGGTACTGTTTGTCTGCACAGCTTCCCAACTGCAGGTTACTATTCCAAAGCTAAAACAGCCCCATGCAGGAATCTGTTGCTTGCTCTTTGGCCAAGTTTGCAGCTTCTAAACCCATTTATCCTTCACAACCAGTTCTGAGGGACATGGCTCTGCCCTCTTCAGGCAGTTCAGTGGCTGAAGTGTGGAAAATAATCAAGTTCTGAGGGACATGGCTCTGCCCTCTTCAGGCAGTTCAGTGGCTCTGTCCACTGTGTGGAAAATAATCATTTTTTCAGAGAGCTGTACATGACAGAGGTGATCCACAGCCCTTATTAGATTTAGGAAAAACCATTTCAAAGGCTCCACAAAGAGTTTTTCACCCCAGGTCTCTTCTCAAGAAGCCTTCCTCTGAACCAGAGATGGCAGAGCAGGGCACATTCCCAGGCCAGGAACAACAAAGAGAAACAGAGTGTGCTGGCTTCTGAACCAGAGGCCATGGACTCCAGTTTACTGTACTGGTTAGGTCTGATAACCCTTCAGCTGCCAAAGCCAAATCCAACACAGGCTGTAATCCACAGCTTTAAAACATAAAGAACAGCATAGCAAATCCAGAGGGCTTTGTCCAGCTGACCCATCACTACTGTCCCAGCTGCTACCAGCCTGGAAGGAAAGCCTTGCAGTAACCCCCAAACAGGAACACCTGCTACTAATTCAGTTGCACTTTTTCCAATTTTTTCCACCTTTCTCAGAGCACTGGTTCACTAATAAATAAATAAATCCCATTTTTTCCAATTTTTCCCACCCTTCTCAGAGCACTGGTTCACTAATAAATAAATAAATCCCAGGGCTTTAAGACCTGTGGCTGCTGCTGAGCAGCTTTCCACGTGCTTTGCTCAGTGAACAAAGCCAAAAGCAAGAGGCAGTGACTCAGGAGGGCTGCCAGGACAGCAGTGCTCACCTGCCAGCATGCTCACAACTGACAGGAGGATCTTCTCCACGCTCTGCACGGGGCTCCACCGCTCCGCGCTGCTCTCGTAGCCCATGGGGTCATCCCCAGGAGCATGAAGGATGGAGATGCACACTCTGCCATCTGGATAAACTGCACAAAAAGTACACAGGATTGGTTGTTACTTAGTGGAAATGCTCAGATGCTCTCCATGTCTTGGGCATAGATCAGCCTGAAGACTTAGCTCTTGTGTGATTAAAACTAAATCCAGGTTTAAATTTCCTCTTTCAGCATATGAAAGACAAAACCCCAGGACAAATCTTCTTTAAGCAAAGCTAACAAACTCCTTCCCCAAGTGCCTGCTGGGAGCACTTGTGGCATTTAATAACCAGTGAAAGGCTCCATGGAAAAAATGAACGGTGCAGCCTGGTGGAATAAGGCAAGAATTTATGCACAGACACAGCTCCAAGCAGGCAATCAGTCCCACTTAAATGGAAATGAATGCACTGAATGCACATTGGAGTCCTCCACTGGACTGTGACCATGGAAAGGATTACACAAAGGAGGGAAAAGTGTTATGTTATATATATTATAAACATGAGAAAAAAATAACGTGTTATGTTAAATATATTATGAACAGTAGAACTGATCTTTTTTTGAACATTACTGAGGTGCAATCAGAAGAATTCCCAGTACTATTTTTTTTTTTTTTGCTTAAAGCTCGGCTACATTAAAGCACCTGGAAACAGAGAAACCTATGAATTAAGGATCCAGGTGCTTCCCCTCCCACCTTTAGCATAATCAACAGTGTCTGCAACAGCACAAGTTGTCTTCACAGAGACTGGACTCCACTGACTTGGAAATGAAACTAAACAAAGGTTGAAGAGGCACCTCACAAGAAAACACTGCTCTACCAGTGGCCTAATTCTCTTAAATGGCAGGCTCCTGAGGAATGACAACTTTAGCACAATAATTTCAGGGCTTCCATTCCTCAGGTCACCAAGCTGGTGCCATTGCCAGGGAAGCAAGATAAACCAGGTGGGAATGACTGCTGGAAGCAGCTGTGCTCATTTCCAGCTCCTTCCATGCATCCAGCTATGTCTGCCCAAGCACTGTGGAGGACTTTCATTTACAGTCCTTCCTGCAGCCCCAGGCTGGGCACTGGAGCTGGTCTAACCATAGCTGGAAGAGGTGAAAACAGCAGGTGCTGAATCAGCACTTCCTGCAAGTCAGGAACCCACTGGCAGCAGGGATTTCCCTGCTGAGGGAGTCTCCTGTGCCTGTGCAGTGCCTCATTTAAAACAGCTGGAACACAGCAGCACAGCCAGGACATCAAAGGCTGATTGCAGGAAGATGTATGGACCTTCTCTCCCTCTGCTCAGGTGAGACCCACCCCTGTCCAGCTGAGGGGCCCCAACCCAAGGACGTGGAGCTGTTGGAATGAGTCCAAAGGAGGCCACAGAAACAGGCTGGGAGTGCTCAGCCTGGAAAAGAGAAAGCTCCAGGGGGACTTCAGAGCCCCTTCCAGTGCCTTATGGGGCTCCAGGGGAGCTGGAGAGGGACTTGGCACAAGGGGGGATGGCTGCACACTGCCAGAGGGCAGGGTTAGATGGGATATTGGGAAGGAATTGTTCCCTGAGAGGGTGGTGGGAACCTGGCACAGGGTGCCCAGAGAAGCTGTGGCTGCCCCATCCTTGGAAATGTCCAAGGCCAGCCCGGACAAGGCTTGGAACAACTTGGGACAGTGGAAGGTGTCCCTGCCATGGGTTTTAATGTCCCTTCCCACAATCCTTCCCAAACCACCTATGATCCTGTGATCTCCCCACACTGATGCCCAGTAGCAATGCAAGCAATGCTATTCATTACTACTTAGTTACTTTTTCCAGAGCATCCAAGGTCACTGTAATGTAAGAAAAGACAGTTCTGTGGTATCTCAGCTCCCCCTTCACATAAGATAAACTGCAAAGATGAGGGGACACACCAGACTTTTTAAACATTTTCTTTGTGATTTCTCACAGGGGGAGAAATAAACAGAAAAAGCACAGCCCAGCCACCCCTTTTTTCAGCCTTTCTGGGTAGAAGCAGCCCACCACAACCCCAGCTGGGAAGATTCAAGTGTCTACTTCAGGTGAGCTCAGCTTCAGATTAAGAAAACTCCAAGACACAGGGCTTTAAAGAGCTGAGCTGACCATCCAGTGTGTTCCAATTATCCCATGGAAGAAACACCCATGTGTAAAGCCACTCTTTAATACAGGAGTCAGGCAATTTGTGCTTCTCCACACCCCACTCCTCCTGGCAGTGCTGCACACAACACAGCTGCAAGCAGTGAACCTCAAGCCAAGGCCACAGCTGGAGCTGCAGGGACAAGGATTTGCTCAGGGAGACCAGTCCTGGCAAGAAATTTGGGTGAATTAGTCCAGCTGGAGCAAGGTGCTGACATGGCTACACTGCTTGAAGTGCCAAAGTGCCCTGTTGTGACATGAGAGCTCCAGAGGTGATGCCACACTGCCTTGGGCATGTCCACACAGTTCTGTGCTGTGACATGCAGGTGTGTCCTCCACAGGAGAACAAAGATGTGGATTAAATGGGCAAGAACCTGCACAAGTGGTGCTTCCAGAAGGGAAAAACTAAGAAACTTCAAGAAATTGCAAAATTCTTTGTATATAGGGTGAAATAAATTGGTTCCCAGCTGAGATTATGACCTGTGTTTTCCAAGTGCAAGAATGTCAGCTGAAGAAGAAGCACTAGGCAGGAGCACAGCTTTTGCCTTTTCCTTAAGGAACCTTAAGGTTTTTTGAAAAAAACTTAAGGTTTTTTTCATGTCCAGGGCTCAAACTTGTTAAATGTATTTCTTGTCACTGAAATTACTCCCACTGAAGAGTCTTCAGGTAATATTGTCACTATCACAGATTCACTAAGGTTGGAGAAGGTCTCTAACTCAGTCAGTATCACAGAGGAAAGACCAGCAAAGTATTAATATTAAACACCTGTAAATGTGTTGTCTGCTTGGACAGAGCACTGTATTTCAGAGAGATCCCCTCAGAAATGTTAAACCTGTGATTTTCATGGGGCAAAAGCCATGCTGCACCCATGAACAACTTTTCATTCATTAAAACAACATTAAATACAAGCCACAGAGCAAGACTGAGTTTATGGTGTGTTGGGACAATGCTCTCAAGCACATGGTGGGATTCTTGGGGTGTCCTGCAGAGGGCCAGGGGTTGAACACCATGATCCTGATGGGTCCCTCCAAACTCAGCATATTCTATGTTTCTATGTCTGGAAAGAGCCTGCATGAATTCACTAAGTCTCACATCCTGTACAGAAGATTTAAAGGCATGGAATTTGCTGGAATCCTTGTTGGATGAGCAAAAGTTTTATGAGGAATAATGGGTAAAGATAAAAGGACCCTAAGACAGAGCAAAACTGCTGGGCAGCTGATTGCTCTTGCTGCCTGCTCGAGGTTGGAAAGGAGAGAACCACGCTTGGGAGGGATGCCAGTTCTCCTGCTGCAAAAGTTTCTTTTTAAGCTGCACAAGGCAGCATGTTTGCTGCACCAGACTCACTGTTGGGATGGAACATCTCACACGTGAACCTCATCTTCGGAGGGCTCAGCGGGTAATCGAGCGGGAAACTCAGGATGGCAGGGAAAACCCCATACTCAAAACAGGTGTCTTCAGGACCCCTAGAAACAGAAAAAATGTTATTCACCAATGTTTTAAACAGCTCTTTCACCCATGTTCGTGTCTAATGGCACGTGTGAGGCACAGGTTACATCATCTTCTCCAGGAAACAAAGAGTTAAGGTGCTCTCACCCCACACCTCATAAACTTAAATCCCAAATATGAGGCTTGGGAGGCATGGGGGAAATCAAAGCTTGCACGCTAAATTACTAGGAAGGTCACAACACTGTTTAATTAGCAGGGTGTGTCTGGATATAATTGGAGTATCTGGCTCCAAGGCATGTTCCAGGATTTGAGTGTCTGCACGTCAAGCGAAAGCAGAGGCAGGTGTGGGACTCCTGTGCCTTTGAAGATACTGTTATGCTCTGCAAGACAGAGATGTCAAATGCTGGAGCTCAAAATTAATTTATAAATGCCACAGAGATCCCAACTGCCAGTATCTAGCACAACCACACAAACACTTATCACTGTCTGATGCAGAAAGCACAGCAAAGGTTTGTAAAAATAAAAACACGGCTCAGAGACCATAATTGTCAGAAGAGATGCAGGACAACAATGTGTCTTTGCAGACCTCAGCTACTGAGTTTGCCCTCCCTCCTGTGCAGGTGGAGAACAAATGGCTTCATCAGGGCCCTTGTAGCAACATTTCCTTATTGTGTTCAGAATCTAGTTCAAAGTGCAGTTGAGTTGAGAACATAAAGACAACTATTTTATCCTGCCTACATAAAACACTTGTGGAAAGTGAGCAAAAAACAAGTTATTTGTGAGCAAAAAAACAAGTAATAAATCATTAGTCATGATTTATTCAAACTTGATGAACCATCTGGAAGTTGTAACACAAACATGATTTCCCTTGATTGGAAAGATGATGAAAAAAGCTTCAGCACCAAAAACTGTTGCCAAGGAAACCTCATGTATTTAGTAAAAGGCCGCTCAAATAAAGGTTCCACTGTCTGGGAAATAAGGGTTAGGAATATATTCATGTTTCCTCCTCCCAGTCCACATTCTCCATGCCAGAAAGAACATTGAAGTTGGAGAGCAGCAAATCCTAAAGCGCTGGAAGACTTATTGTCTCAAACTTGGGGATTCAAAAGACTTGGCTGGTAGATAAACACAAGAACAATGTGATTTAAACATGAACATTGACACTGGTAGGTAAGGTAAGAGAAATGCACCAACATTCTGCAAGAATGAAAGCTAAACTGTCTCAACCACTTTGTTCCCTTTCTAGCCTTTTCCCTAAATTTAGTCAGGATTCAATTCACATCTGAGAGTAAACTGAATGCATTTTTTCCTGACCATTTTAATTCCAGCTGCATTTTAAAGGCTTATTGTTGTACTTCTGAGAGTATGTACATACAGGCATTGAAAAGCTGGTGGGTGTCTATGTTCTGTTTTGAGAGCAAACCCACAGCCTTAAGGGCTCTTCTGTCAAATACACTCAACCCAACATACTCCATTTTAGTCCCTGTATTATGTGAGCAAAATGCTTTTGTTTTAGCCACTCAACGCTGCCAGGATCAACTTCAAAGAAATTATTAAAGTTAATCCAAGACAGCATTTGCAACTACAAAACACTCAGCATTTGAACTTGACAGCATCACTTTTAGCTCACAAAGGACACTGGCAGGGCCAGGGAGATAAGAGCATGGCAGCTGCTGCTCTGCACTGATTCCAAAGCTGACAAGAAGACAAAACATGAAAATGAGAAGCTCTGACTTCCAGGAGCTGGCTGTAACTCATGCAAGGGGCAGAGAAGAGTGGTGGGTACCTTCCAAATAGGAGAGAGAAGTAGCTTGAGGAGGACAGCTGTTGGTTAGTTTGGAGAAAAGGCTCCTCAGGGGGGACCTTCTCCTACAGCTCCTGACAGGAGGGTGCAGCCAGGTGGGGATCAGGCTCTGCTCCCAGAGGACAAGAGACAAATCAAGAAGAAACAGCCTCAAGTTGCAACAGGGGAGGTTTAGGTTGGATACGGGGAAAAATTTCTTCCCTGAAAGGGTTGTTCAGCCTTGGCACAGGCTGCCCAGGGCAGTGGTGGAGTCACCATCCCTGAAAGCACTCAAAAAACATGTGAATGTGGCACGTGGGGACACGGTTTAGTGGTGGATTTGTCAGTGCTTGGGGAATGGTTGGATTTGATGCCTTAACCATTCTGTGATTCTAATTCTATAATCACAGCTTCACATACGTTTGCAAATGGCTTATTTGTAAGAAGATGCTGGAAAAACACCAAACCCCACAATCATCAGATGCCCAAAAGGGGAATGGAAACAAAAGTCATAAGCCTAATTATAGATCTAATTACCTTTCTAAACAGCTTTGTGATACGTTGTCTTCAATTTCTACTGTTTTGTTTTCAAGCAATCTTAAGGCTAATAAAGTTCTTAACCATTGCGTGCTTTTGTGTCTTTTGGGGATAAACTTTAATAGCAGCACACTTGTACATGCCAGCCAAAGAGGGCAAAACTTGGCCTTGAAATGTTAAATCCATGAAGACAACACAGCCTGAAGGACCTCACCCAGCACTGGGGAATTGAGCAACATAAGGCAAACTCTCCTGAAATGATGTTGCAAAGATCTGGCTTTCAACAATGCTCCCCACCTCCGGTCTTCAGGGAAGTTTTCACATGGGTATGTTCAGTTCTGTGCCCATCCCACTCATTTTAGGAGTGTAACATTTGTTCTCTCCTTTATTTTATTATGGTCTTAATATTTATGTGTTTCACATTCCTCCAGCACTGCTGCTGCAGACAAGAACACTGGAGATACAAATAATTATTATTTCCATTATTTAAAAATGCATTATTTTTTCTCCAAGTCAAGCTTTTACATCAATCTATGTAACATTACCCAGCCTACCTTTGAATTGATAAATGAGAGATGTCTTTTCTCTCTTAGGTCTCTTTTTCAAAGTTATGTGCCATTATATGTGCTCTAGCTTTATATAAACTGGCTGAAGGAAAGAAAGTATTCTGTTCTTTTCACAATTATGTTTCTTACCATTTGCACTTCATCTGTCTAAAAATTTGAAGGCAGCTTTACTCCCATTTTCTCATCTGCACACCTCATTCCCTGCATCTCACACAGCACATTTGAGATTACAAAACACTGGAGGAGACCACCACAGACAAATACAAACAAGTCATGTAACTTACTTTCCAAAGGCACTGCAAACACTGCTACTAACAAGGTTTGTTAAAGAGATGAAAGTAACCAAATGTGTTTGGGGTAAACATGTTTCTATTGTATCACACCTTCAAAATTGAGCAGATCTTAAAATATAACTTTATTATGACACACACACAATACAGAAACCAAAATTAAAGCACCTCCGCCTCTCATTTTACGCTGACAAAGACCTGAAGCTCAACACTCAGCACTTTAAAGGCCTTTCAAGTCTGCAAAGCAGCTCCTCTGTTCTTTAAGGATGTGACAGGAAACATCAGAAAAGGTATTTTCTAGGCAATTCAGAAGTACTTCTGAGCATCCCTCAGGAAACCTCTACTCAGTCTGCTAGGAGGAAGTACCAATAAGCAGGAATTTCCTTCCATGTTCCAAGAAGTGCATTAAACCCTCTGGGATTTCCACACTCCCAGCAATCACAGCTGTCTGACCTGAAATCTGGCCCATTACAAAGCAGATGTGCTGACTATGCCTCTCACAGAAAGCCTAAGACCCTGCAGCCAAAATCTCTGCTGTCAGGCAACAGAACAACCTATTTCCATGCTAAGTGTTTATTTTGAGAGGACTGAGCCACCAGGAAGCACAACCTGTTATCCCAGGAGAAATCACTGCACATAAGCAGAGGCATTTGCCAACTCTTGCCATCAATGAGCAAACAAGCAGTGGTAATCCAAACCTCCACTCACCAAGGTCTAAAATAACTCAGAGGCTCTGGCTTGCCATGCAGCAGGATCACCCACACAGCCACTTTGTGTGGAACAGGGAACTCGCTGCAGCTTTTGTATTGGTTGCATGCCTGAGCCCAAGAGACAGAAATCTTGTTTTTCATCCCTAGACAACACATTCCAAGCAAACCCAGCTAGGAAAACTCTGCCACCCACGCCAGGTTGAGAATCTCCCCAGTCAGCACTGGTGGCTGCAGGGAAAACCTGCCCAGATCACAGCAGGCACTGCCTGCTGCCCCCAGAGTCCTGCAGACAACCAGCCCTGGCTGAAGGAAAGGAAATCACCAATTCTCCCCAAAAGAATCCTGAAATACACAGCCAGGATCTACCCTAACAACACACCACTGGCTGCAAGATGGACTCAGTGGTCTGGAGCTTCTTCATCTTTTTATTGTGCAGTATTTGCATAAATTGTCAGATGTGAGTGACAAATGTCTTTTTTCCTCTCCTTTAGCATTTTAGAACTTTATTTTGTCGAAATCACCAGTTATTCCATGTACTCAAAGTTCCCAAAGAAGGTACAGCATGAGTAGGAGTACAAGAAAGAGAGAAGACAACCTGTCAGATGATGGGCAAAAAGATTTTGTCTTTTCATGGCAAATTTTGCTACCAACAACCACACCCATCAGCTGGGGAGTGGAAGAGAGAGAACACAGTTTTGTAAAGGAGTTCAATTTCATCACCTCCAAAACACAGCAGGTCAGGATCAGAGCTATTCACCAACAAAAGAGTGAATCTCTTTCTACACAAAAGCACTGCATTCAACTCTTGACAACACCAAATGATTCATGAAGTGTAAAGAACTTCAAAAGAATTTTTACTTAAATTTCAATACTATTCTGATCAGAACCTTTCAATACTTCAAGAAAAAAATTAATAGTAAGTAAACTAATTTTAGACATTGATTTTTTCTCCTGTCATTAATAATTTGAGTATTTTGCTCACCTCAAAACTTGTCCTGCACTTGCAGTAAAGCAATGTCCAACAAGTATGTGTGATCTACAAGCAACTGTTTGTTTCCTACAGTGTTTGTAAATGTAACATATACCCAAGGAAACTCAAATGAGGATTCCTGACAAATTTGTGAGCTTATTATTATGACACCTGCACAAGAAGTTATGATATCAAGTTGTACACATCACCAATGCTGCCTCTGTCACTCTGTTTGAAGTCCAGATTTCCAGCCCAAGGCAGGCCAACGCTGATGCCACACAGAACTGACAGTACTTTTTGACATTCTCTCTCTCCTAGAAGCTCATCACAGCAACTGCTCATTTCAGCCACCAAACAGTAATATTTAACTCACATGATCAGGGCTTCCCATTCAAAGAAGTTCTCTTCATTCATGGGACCTGTGAAACAGAACAGAACAATGTTCAGAGCCACCTGAACACAAGGTCACAGCTCCAGAGTGCACAAACCCTGCTCAGCTCCTCACCTGCCACAATCCCTTCTGGTGGGTTCAGGGTCAGCTCTGCAAAAACAGAAACACAAGGAAGATTGAGGTGACTTGTGAGCCCAAACATTTCAGGGGGTGTGTGAGTGGCCATGGCTTAGCACAGAGGCCCCACCACCATTGCTTAATGTGTTCTAGACAAATATGGCACTTTGGGGTTTTTTGGGCTCCTAGAACTAGCCTTGGAATCACAGAATTGCTTAGGTTGGAAAAGACCTCTAGGATCATTGAGTCCTCTGTCTTCTCAGAGGCAGTAATTTAAACCTGAGAAGGAGGACAAAAACATTTCACAAAGCCTGGGAAACACTCTTCTCTTGCACCCCTGTGGTATCTGCTGGATCCTGTAACAGCCTGAAGTTTGTATTCCTGTAACCTCTTTGCACCATTCAGGTTTGATGCACCTCAGTGCAAAACCCAGAACGACACAAAAACAGGAGAAGCAGACACGTGAGAATTCAATCCAACCTCCTGTGTGGCCTGGAAAATGTGAGTTAAAAAAAAAAGAAGCATCAATAAAACAGCCATAGCTGCACAGGCAAGTTTGGATCCATGAATCCTCACTTTCTCTAGAAACCTAATACAATTCCAAATTCATGGAACAATCTTCAGCATCAGCCCCTTACCTCAGGCTGGTGAAGGCCAGTACACCACATGCTGATAAAATAACAACCAGATTTTCTCTATTTAGTGGACTGACCATCAGTTTCTAGGTTCTGATGTTCTGCAGGGAGGCAGCAGCAGCAGCTGAGCACAGTTCAGCCACAAACAGACAATCAACTGTGCCAGCAGTCCTGAGGACTCAACACCAACCCCAAGGCTCTGAGGGAGCCACAGGGCAGCTGCTGGAGTGGTGGCAGGAGGTGACACTGCCAGCTGCTTATCCAGCACAGTGTTTCCTAATCAATGGCCAGTGACACACAGAACACAGCCAGAGAGACTTGAGCTAATTTCTGTTCACAGCCAGAGAGACTTGAGCCAATTTCTGTTCAGGCTGTAGGTGAAAGCTGTATGGGCAGTGCTGCACACAACAGATTCTGTCTCACAACAGCTCCTTTGCTGCAGGACTCAAGATGCTGAGATGCATTGCCAGGAGAGATATTCAGTTTGCTCAGAGTGCCCTTAACCTTGGAACAGCCCTCTCTGAAGTTCCAAAGCCCAGCAGCAGATGGAAACTCAGCCCTGCTGTTTTCCACACGTCCTGGCATTCCATGGCAGGTTTTTCCAGCTTTGCAGTGGGTCTCCAATAGCTTTTCTTGTTGATGTTTTTAGAGAGAAAGAGGGAGATGTCAAACACAGGAGCTCCTGGAATCATTTTGCTCCATCTTGTGGTTCTCTCTAAGAAGAAAATCCCCTGATGTTTCCCTGGAAAAGCTGGCAGCAGCTTTCCCTGTGGTGGGCAGCCACATGGAATTGTGTCATACAGCACTCCACTCCAAGGAGAACAGGAGCAATGGCAATGAACAGCCAAAGCCCACAGAGCAAAGGGTCTTCATGAGGACAGAGCTTCAATTCTCCACTCCCTTGCTCAGCTCCCCCTTCAGAGAAAGGTTTCCATCCTTAAGGATCGGGTAAAGTAGAATCTGGGCACTCAGGGGCACAGGAGCTTTGATTTTGAGCGACTGCACCCGGTCATTGAGAAAGGTCTCCATGGGGACAGTGACATCCTAGCCTGTGACTGCCCCAGAGTTGATCAAAGGGAAACTGAGAGCCCTGTTGAACATGAACCACTGGAGCTGACACAGCATCAGCAGCTACAGCTCACCAGAGCCTCCAAAACAGGGTCACTTCAACACAATGTCAGGGGGGTGTCCAATTATTTGTAAGTGAGCAGCAGAAAGCAGTGAAAGGCTAAAACCAATGCTCTCATCACATGCAGAGTGACTCTGACAGACCAGCTGGGCCAAACAGTCCCACTCAGTGTAGAAATTTTCCATAATAGCCAATCTAAACCTCCCCAGGTGCAACTTTTTATTTGTTCCCTGGGAGCAGAGCCAGACCTTGTGAGCTTAAAACAGAGCTGACACCAGACAAGTGTGATGCTTCTATCAGGAATTCAGGGCAGAGCACACAGTGCCTTCCTTCTCATTTCACTGCTCTTTGTGGAGTCATTATCAGCCAATTGCACCTTGGAAATGGTTCTCAGGAGAATTGAAAACACATCTTGTTAAAGCACTGAAGAGACTGAGATCATCCTTAAAAGAGAAGTCCAACAGTATGTTTCCTAAAAACTGCAGCCATTTAGCAAACCTGCAAGGGGATTAAAAGCCCAGGACTCAGGAAATATTATGGGTACGTGCTCACTGCAGAATCTGACAGCATCTGGACTGAGATGCTTGAAAATAGCCAGTTTTCTTCTGACTCCAAACAACTCTCCCCAGGCACCAAGGATGGGAGGTGCCCACTCCCAAGCCCTGCCAGTTTCAGAAGGTTTATTATTTCTGTGACTTCCCAAATCTCACAATTAACATAAATCCCTTATTTTCAACCTGACAGCATTTCCAAAGAAACCTGTTGGCATTACAGTCCACTGCCCTGTTGCCTGTTTGTACCAGGAAGGAAATCCAATGCACACAACCAGGCACTGCAGTTCTCAGGTCTCTAGAGATTTAATTCTTCCAGAGTGACTCATTTTAGACTTGAAATTTCAGCCAGCATAAGACATCTTCAAGATGTAGCATCAAGAACCAGTAAACACAGAAAAATAAGGTTTCCATCTTTTAACTCTCACAAATTTTGTGAGGTCAGGCCTTAATACTATTATACATCTAGATTTAACATCAGACACACAGTCTAATAAAAATTATACCCTTTTTTAGATCTGATTTTTTTTAAAGCTTTAGCCAAACTAGTTCTGGCAGACTAGATAGTAAATTCAGAAAGCAAAAAGTCAAACATGCAAAGATCTAAATGAGGACAAGAAGTCCAATCCATATCATCTGGATGTCCACAGCTTCCCTTCCTTCTTCAAAAGGAAAGGAAACCAGTGCAATTTCACAGCCTTTCTCAAAATGCAGTAATATATCTGGGCTCCAACAGGTAGAAACTCCCCACAATGTCAAGAATTTTTCACAGAAGGAAACAATAAATCTTTAAATTAAGACTTAAACATGTGTGCATGCATGCACTGAAAAAGATGAAAGACAAAAACTGAAAAAGGAAAAAAATGGAAAGAATTAGAAGTCTGGTAAGGAAAATACACCCACCAGCAAGGCACTGACTGCCAACACCACTGTCACTACCAGAAGGAACTAAAGGGAAGAGATAGAGGGGAAGAGGGAAAGTAAAGAAAAAGATGTGTCCACACCTTTGTACATAACACACACAAGATTTCACCCAAGGTGAGCAGTCAGGAGAGGGTCACTGGAAACCACTCCCATGCCCACATTCACCCAGGGCAACCACATCCACAGGAGGGAAAAGCTCCACACTGAGCTGAACCTCAGACTCCAGCCTGTCCCAAGGCAGGACTTGCTCCTTCTCTGCAAAAAGAGGCAGCAGAACTACCTACAACCAGGAGCTATTCTTATTTTTCATAATAACTTTAGCTGAAAATCTCTACAGGCCTCAGAGATTCTGCAGAGCTACAAGGAACTGCCACTCTTTAAAGAAACACTAGGGAAAGGTTGTACAGGCTTAATTCTGGGGTTTGTGCTAAAGGGAAGTAACAAACATGCAGCAGAGGGGAATCCAGAGACACCAAAATGTCTGTTTTACTGCACTGCTGCAGCTCAGGTTTCCAGAAAGCACTGTGCCAGTTACATTCATTATTTTACAATACTGTGTTTTATTGGGCATGGGAAAGTGCTTGTAAAGGCAGATCTCAGACAAAACATTATCTCTGTTCATAACCAGTGTTACCCTGGGAAACCAGGCAGAGAAGAGTCACCTCATGTCTGCATGTGGCACTAAGTCAAAATCTTTCTGAGGTCATTAAATACATTTTTTCCTAAAGATTTTACTCATACAAGACTCTCCAGTAAGACCTCTGTGCTCCTCAACAACAAAGGATCATAAATGCTTTTTTGAGACTTAGGGGATTGATAGGAGAGGACTGAAGCAGAGCCAAGACTTTCTGTGGTTGTTTTCAGGTCGCTGCCTCTGGATTAGAACAGGAAAATGCAGATTTCCAGGACACACACTGTCAGCACAAACTTCCCCACCAGCCGCTGCCTCTGGATTAGAACAGGAAAATGCAGATTTCCAGGACACACACTGTCAGCACAAATTTCCCCAGTGACCAGCTGGCAGTGGCAGCAGCCCGAGCTGGGTGGGGAGCCCTGGCTGCCCAAACCCTGTGTGCCAGCTCAGCTCAGGGAGCTGTGCTCTGCAGAGCAGCCTGGGAACAGCACAGTGCTGGCAGCAGGTGTGTGCCTATAGATGCTCTCACACAGGCTGGAGTATTCCACTGAACGATGGCAGAAACAATGCCATCCCTGCCTGGGGAGCAGTCAGTGACCTTCCCTGGAGCACAGAGCCTGTTCTTTCAGCCCAGCCCCACCAAACGTTTCTCTTCTCCATTCCACTTCCTTGCTGTAAATAAAAGCCAGAGCAGTAAAGCCCCAAAGCACCTGGGTACACAAACAAGTATTTCTTGCCAACAGAAGGCACCTTTGGACACGTCTCAAACCCATCAGGGAGCAGATGAGCCATCCCAGAAGCTCCCAAACCCACCAGGGAGCAGATGAGCCATCCCAGAGTGATTCCCAGAGGGATTCCCAGCCCACTGCTGCAGGCCTCTGGTCCCTGTGGTGAGCATCACTGCAGCCACATCCCACACTGGTTTTTAAACAAACTATGCCTTTCATTACTAAATTCGAGTTTAAATCCATTTACTGGCCATTCTGGTCCCATTGAGGACTTCACAGAATTACAGAATTGATCGAGTTGGAAGGGAACTTAAAGCCCACCTCATTCCAGCCCCTGCCATGGGCAGGGACACCTCCCACTAGCCCAGGTTGCTCCAAGCCCTGTCCAGCCTGGCCCTGGACACTTCCAAGGATGGGGCAGCCACAACCAGAGGGCATCTGCCCTGCCAAACACCTCTAATTACCTCTGACATAAAAACAGAGCTCTGCAACAGAGATTTCCATACCTGTACTCTGTTCCAAATGGAAAATTTAACAGGGAAAAGCATCACAATAACTGGCCGCTTGCCCAGGGTTCCCAGCTCCCCCTAAGGCCCTGGAACCAGGGGATTCCAGAGGTGTCACCCGCACACCGAGCTGTCCCCGCGGTCAGGGGCAGCACCCCGTTCCCACAGCCTCCTCAAAGCCGGCAGTGCCCCGTGCCCGCCCGGGGACCCTCAGCCCGCCCCGGAGCTCTGCAGGCAGGCAGAGAGGACCCTGCGGCCGGCGGGCACGGGGCGCCCAGAGGGAGGCCCGCGGCCCGGCCCGGCCCCGCCGCCGCTTCCGGGTGCGCGGCCAGAGCGGCCGCGGCCGGGCGGGGCGGGGGCGGCGCTCTATCCGCCCGCCGCGCCTCTATGGTAGCGCCCGGTCCTCCCGCCGGCACCGGGCGGGGCGGGAGCGCCGTGTGGGAAACGGCAGGGAGGGAAACACAGATAATCCGCCACAGAAATGCCCCACGGAGCGGGGGGAGTAGCTGCGCACACCCTGCGGAAAAGCCTCCACAGGGCCTTTCCCGCCGGGATGGCCGCAGAGAGCGCGGGCAGCGGCCCCAGCCCCGAGGTGGATCCGCGGACAGCCCACCCCAGCTCCCGCCGCCGTGGAGAAGGGAACAGCGCCTTTCCGGAGAGATTTCAGCGAGCAGGAGCACAGCCAGCGCGGACAAATGGAAAGAGAAAAGGCTGGGTGTGGTTCCGTGGAGCAGCAGGATAGCCCGAGTTAAAATTCCTCTGGAACGGGCTTCATGCAGCCCAAACCACCACACAAATAATTAAACCTCAGCAAGGCCGGAGGGGCAGGACAGCAGTTGTTTATTATTATTATTATTTTTTTATTATTATTATTAATTATTCATTATTATTTTTTTAATTATTATTATTTTGAAGACACCTCAGTGTCTCTCCTCACTAGCTCTTCTGCACAATTTGGTGACATTAAAAGGCATTTCTCCCTCCCACCCCAGTTTACCAAGTTTATCTACCAAAAAGAGGTATTAAAAAGAAACCTGAGGCCACAGAGAAAGAGTCAAAGTTAAGTTCCAGTGCCCACAGAGTCAAAGTTAAGGGAGCAGGGCAAAGGCACAGATGCTGTCCAGCCCTCAGCAAACAGCTAGAATTTCAGTGATGGGATTTTTATGAGATTTCGCAACCAAAAAAAACTCCACAGCTTACTCTATCACAAACATTAAGTTTTTGGACCAGCTGCCCTACTAGCTACAGTTCTGCAATAGTGCACGCCAAAAAAAAAAAATCCCATTTCTGCACTAAAAAAGTTTATTTTGGCCTACTTTATAATAATATGAAAAAACACCTGTAAACCTGAAGTACTTAAACCCTGTCCTAGGCATTGTATTGTGTTCTAGCCCCAGTCAAGGACATGGTGCTGCCCCAGGGACTGACTGAATTTGTAACACCAGCTAAAAACTTAAAACCTGTATCTGTGTTCCTTCTTTCAGGCACATCTTAAAAGGAAGCTTTTACACTCACATTTGGCATGAAAATAAATTGAACTATTTATATAATTTGACTTAAAACAGAGAGACAAGACCAACCAGAGCCAGGAAAGAACGCTCAGTGTCCCAACACATGGATAAATTCTTAGGCCACAAGTTTAAAGAAAGAAAAAAGAGAATACAAACAGTAAATTTTTACAAAAGGCTAACAACAGAGAGACAACACACATTACTTAACCTGAACTTCAAATGGTTAAATTCAGACACAGCTCAATCCCTGCAGATACTATTCTGACTTGTGCACTCAGAATGTCAAAGACAACAAGCAACTTTGGCAAATATCCTGTGAAGTTTCAGAGAACCCTGTGTGACTGGCATGTTCATTTGCTCCTTAATGAAACAACAAATCCAAGGACAGATGAGGGAGTGAGGTGTGATGAGGCTCCTCAAACTGCTCTCCCAAAGATGCTGTGTCTGAGCCCCCTCCACCTGTCTGCTGCTGGTACACTTCGATCGTGTCGTCGTGTTCCATCTCCAGCTGAGGGAGTAACACAGCAATTATTTTAACATTTTAAAAACATAGAAACTGTAAGTAATACAGAAAACTTGAAAAGCACGTGGTGACTAAAGCACGTGGCTCTCTGCTCCTAATCAGCACTTCAGGAATAACTTTAATTAACCAACACATGAAACACTTTCCATCAGTCACCCTGCACAAGTTTGTTGCAACATGCTGAACTCACAGCAACTATTTCAGGATCATTTTGATTTCGAGCCCCTTTGATCACCACCCAGACACCAGAATATCTGTGTAGCAATTTGCAGTAAGAGGGTTTTTCATACCTGTGCAGGTGTGTCTGCTTCTTTAATGGGCTGCCCATCAAACAGGAACATAATGTGCCTCATTGACAAGCCCTGCAAGTGCAAAGTCATATATGAGAAACCACGCTTGATTTCTGAATCCACACCAAGTATTCATGGATTTAACAAAATTAACACTCAGAAGACAAGGGGGATGACACAAAATAGATTGAGATTAAGTATTAGGAAGGAATTCTTCCCTGTGAGGGTGGTGAGGGCCTGGCACAGGGTGCCCAGAGGAGCTGTGGCTGCCCCTGGATCCCTGGAAGTGTCCAGGCCAGGTTGGGCAGGGCTTGGAGCAACCTGGGACAGTGGAAGGTGCCCTCATGGCAGGGGGTGGGACTGGATGGGCTTTAAACCCCTTCTAACCCCAAACCATTCTGTGATTCTCTGATTAAGATTTAACCACCAGGACACTGGTGTCTTGCTGTCTACACTGAGGAAGGTCAAATGCTGGTAACTTTACGTGGCACTTAAAACCTGAGTTACCACACTGTTGTTCTGACAGTGTTTAATCACATGAGGAAGTCTTTATTCCCTGCATCAGGGATTGAGGACCTTGCTCTGCCCTCTAAAATCCATGTGATTCACACTTCTGTCACACACAGGAATGCTAAAATTCCTGTACCTCTCCCAAAACCCAGAGAGGTGTCAGGGTGCAGCAGGCACAGAGCAGGGCAGAGTGTAAAGTTTGAATAAGCAAAGAAAGGATCCTGCAAGTAACAGACAAGGCAAACTAAATCTGACTCTGTTTCCAAAGCCATTCACATGCCCACCCTCTGCTCTAGTAAAACTGGGAGCTCCAGGCTCAGGAACTGAGCTGTGGGGATTCATCCTTCAGTTGAGGATGCACTGAGGAGCAGCCTGTGACACCTGTGGAACACAGGTCACAACTGTGCAATGGGCAGCAGGAGACACGGGAAGGGAGAAGGAAACAGCCCATGAAGAAGCTGTATGGCATAGAAGAATTTATTTTGCGCTGTTTTCCAAACAGAAAATGCACTCAAAGTTGACAAAGTTTTTCGAGATGACAAGACCGAGGGTTAGTGAATTGTCTCAAAGTCAGGATCGGAACTGGAGGAATTTTTGTAACTCTGTCACGGGACATGAGGGAGCACCTGAAGAGGAAGAGGCAGCTCCCATTCACCCATACGAGAAGCTGCCAGTATCCCAGCTCCTCATTCTCCCACACACCTGGACACCCTCACTGTGCCCACAAGCATGTTCCACGATCCGGGCAGAGCAGCAGCGAGGGTTCCAGCAGCAGGGGATGCTTGGCCGGAGCGGCAGAGCCCCTTGGGGCCGTGCCCGCGCCTACCTGCCGGCTGCAGTACGCCTCCATCAGCTTGCTCAGCGGAGTCTGCCGCTTCATTCTGAACTGCACCACGGAGCCGTCCGGCCCGACAACCTTCAGGTCGATGGGCTCGGTTTTCACGCATGCCTGGACGGAAAACTGCAGGACGCGGCGGGCTCAGAGCTTTGCCGGGTGAGCCCCGCTCGGGCCGGACACCGCCAGCCACAAACTGGGGCACCTCGGCCGGCCCCGCTCCTGCTCCTGCTCCCCCCGGCCGGGACACCTCGGCCGGCCCCGCTCCTGCTCCTGCTCCTGCTCCCCTCAGCCGGGACACTTCGGCGGCCTCGCGCCACGGGGGAGGCGGAGCCGCACCGCAGCCGCGCCCCGGGACGAGGAGTGGCCGCCGCTCCTCACCCCCGCCCTGCTGCCCGCTCCTCCCCTCCCGCCTTCCAGCCGCTCACCTCACGCCGCTCTCCCCGCCTCACCCGGGGCCCCCCGTTCGACATGGCGGGCGTGGGCTGTGGGGGGCAGCAGGGGGTTCGCGCTGGGGGCGGGGCCAACGGAAAAGGGGCGCGTGCAGGCGCGTCCCCGCTGAGCCGCATGGGGGCGCTGTGCTCCGGCGCGGGAACCGGCGTGAGGGGAGAGCCCGGGGCGCTCCGAAACAGCCCCGGGACACCCCGAAACAGCCCCGGGACACCGTCGGGACACCCCGAAACAGCCCCGGGACACCCCCGGGACACCCCGAAACAGCTCCTGGACATCCCCGGGACACTCCGAAACAGCCCCGGGACGCCCCGAAACAGCCCCGCGACACCCCCGGGACACCCCGAAACAGCTCCTGGACATCCCCGGGACACTCCGAAACAGCCCCGGGACGCCCCGAAACAGCCCCTGGACACCCTCGGGACCGCACGTTCCCAGTCGCATGGCAGCTCCTGAGTGCGAGAAAACGGGACAAGAAGCCTTCCATCAAAGAATCCAATGTTTCCAGTCCAGTCCAGCCCAGTGCTGGGGTGTTTGGATCCCCCTTAAAGCAAGGAGAAGCGAGTCTGCCTCGATCCACAATCGAGGAAATAATTAGATTCTAAACATACCCGAAAGTGAGATTAAAACACAAACGAGGTTAAATGTTGGGATCCAAAGCGATATTTCAACCTTTATTTTTCACAAAAGAAAGAAGGCAGAAAAGTGGGGATAGCCAAGAATAATTACTTGAAGCACAGGGAAGGTGTTACCACCACCATGGGTCCAGCTCTGCCTCACAGATTGCAATGGGTGTTTCGCCGCTGAATTCCATCCGACAGGAGCAGAGCCAGGCACTGGACCAGCACTGTGGCAGGGCACAAGCAGACAGCAAAGACTCCCACACTTTGTAGATTTAGAAGCTGCAGCTTCTGTGCCACTTGCTTATAGAGGGTTTTGAGAGTGGCAAGGTCATGTCCACCTCAAAGCAACAGCACACCCATGGGCAGATTCATGTTTGCTCCCTTGAAGTTCATTGGCTGTTCGTTGGAATTCAGCCGAGGTTTGCCTGCTGTATCAAAAAGAAAAACATTTTTCTTCATTTCACTCCTTCACTGCACAGGGCCAGGTGGGAGCAGGGCAGGAGCTTGGTGCTGACAGAGCTGCCCCTGCATAGAGGGGCAGAAAGGGCTCTGGGCTTCTTCAGAGGAAACCCCTAAATATGAAATCCATCCTGGCTGAGTCCACTTCTCCCACAGGCAATGCCCGGTGGCCAAGGCTGCCTCCTCCAGCTTTAGGGGCGTGGTGAGGCCAGGAGAGAGGAGGAGATTCTGCCCCAAACCTCCATCTCAGCCTCTGTCCTCACCCTGGCCGTGAGGAAAGCAGATACTGTTCCCTTCAGAATATGCTCAGAGTCTTAAAGGATTTTCCCTTTTCCATTCACTTCCCCGGCTGTGCCCCCTCAGAGATGAGGAAAGTGGCACAGAAGCAAGCAGGAATGGCCCCTGTTGGGGTCTTAGGAGCTGAATATTTTTGTTTTTCTCTAAAGGAATTTTCCCCAATTCGTGTTGCTAGGATACAGTAATGACTGGGTACTTTAGAGAGAAGAAAGAAGTTGTCAGCTCAGGGGAGAGGTGCAGCTGGCTACTCTCTCTTTACCTGATGTTCCCTGTGGAGGGCAGAGATACCTCGAGATTTGGACTGGGAAAGCAGCGCTGGGTCCAGCCTCTGTCTTTAGTGTGCTGGACATTGGGAGGGGAGAGAGACTGCGGTCGCTGTGTGGAGAATTCATCACCACTGCGGAGTTCTGCCTTCTGCTGCCTTCCTGCCTTCCTTCTACCGTGAGTGTTAATAATAATAATAATAATAATAATAATAATAATAATAATAATAATAAGCGGGTGTTGCACTGGGACCTTATTAACACCCTACCTCACTAAAAGAGGGGCTTTTTTATCTGCTCAGCTGCCTCAGGGGAAAGAAAACCCCAGGCTCCCGAGCTCGCCTTTCCCTTCACTGCCCTGCCGCTGCCCCACCCCCGCTGTTTCTGCGGCACTGCTCCGAGCATTCCCTGCACTATGGCTCTTGTTCCCTGCCTGCCAACACGTCCCGTGGCTCCCGCTGCAGCTGTGCAGCTTGATACATCTCGTTTACCACCCGGGATGGTAAAGCGAGCCTTTCTTCCATCCCGTAAAGCCACCATTGCCGCGTGGCCCCCGAGCTCGCAGCGGAGCGCCCCGCCGGGGATCACCGCCTGCCCTGCCAGCCCGGAGCCAGCAGTGCCGCCGCTGCCGGCTGTGCCCGGGGCTGCACCCGAGGGGAAAGGGCCTGCAACCCGCAGAAGGCTCACCCTGGGTTTGTGGCTCTGCTTGTTGCTGCTGCCCTAGTTATTGGCGTTTGTTTGCCTTGTTATGCATTCGTGGCAGTCACCCTAATCAGTGTGTGTACTTGCTTGTAGTAGCTGTTACGGTTGTTGCACCACTTCGTGCTAGAAAATGAAGTATTGAG